GATATATTTGCTATAAATCACATAACAGTATTTATTAAAAGAAATGAAATATTAATGTATATTCTCAGTAGTTTTAATTTGCTAAACCAGGTAGTTTTTCAAGTAATAATTGTCTCTTATGTGAACTGAGGAAAAATATAATTTCCAGCTTTATTTTTTCAATTGGTAATTTTTATTTTCACTAAATGTTAAGTAGCAATGTAATCATTTATATAATTATAGATTAGTACACAATTGTAAGTCAACACATTATTTATTACCTTAAACTGTCTGGAATTTATTATTAAAGGGTTGCGCTTGCGTAAAATTTACTATCGTGGAAATTCAGCTTTTTTGCCTTTTGGCCAATCTCTTCCCTGTAATAAATGAAAATAAAAATTTTATTACTTGACCAACATTTTTAAATGTAGTTTTATGTTCTACCATTATTTTTTTCAGCTTAAGATCTATTAAATATATTTAAAATCTCTTTTAAATAGTGTTATGGAACTAAAGACAATCAAGCTCCCATATTATGAACTGTCTACTGACCTTGCAAAATGTACAATGGTTCACTGTTTCCAAATTTTTTAAAACTAATTTTTTAGCATATTACAGTTACATTGTTGGAAATAGTGGTTGTGATAATTACATAATTTGTTAATAAGTTTCAAACTAATTAGGTGGATAAATTAAAATTTAAAAAGAAAAATATTTACTTAGCTGAAAATTGATTTCAATTTCACATTCTGTGGAAGAAATTGGGGATTTTTGATTGAACACAATTCACTTATATGTAGAATTCATCAACTTTTTTGTTAACAATAGGTCTGATCAACATTTTCTGTTTTAAAAAAAAGGATTCAGTATATCTATTGTTGACGCAGTGCTAATTGATTGGTTCCATCTTTAATACAATTTATAATTTTTAATCAAAAATGCACTCCTTTCTGCAGAATTTATAATTTTTACTATTTTCAAAAAATAAACCTTTTAAAATGGTTCTCCTTATTTGAAAGTTCTAACTCCTGCAAGGGTAAAGTTATAGAACTGAAAAAAACTGACTGAAACATTGTTGTTGTAGTTGCTGTTGTTATGAAATTTGAGTCCAATATAAATGAACTGCTAATTTCTTTGCTATTCACCATAAGCATATGAAAAACGTTAGCTGAATGAGAGTTTAGATGAGACTTGAAAAAGTGCACTTGACTATATAGAAAATAATAACTTCTTAAAACTTATAACAAAAATCCATTATTAATAAATTAAATTTTACTTTAATAGATATTGTTTAAAAAATACAGTTTAAATTTTGTGAATTCAAAGAACCATGTGAATGTTACGTATTTCTCCCATCATTATTTTTACTTAATGCAATCTATCTGTTGTATCAATGCAAAATATTATATGGCTGCTATTTCAAACCATGTTATCTCCTTATAAGGAAAATTTTTGAAAATAGTTTTTCCCAAATTGATTCATTACAGGATGCATATGCCCTCCTTCAAAAATTCAATGTTCCTGTTGACCTAGATGAAGTGGAAAAAGCACGTAATTTACCTAAAGTCTTCTGGGATACATACTCAAAAGCAGTAAATATTTATATTTATCTAGAAAAAAAATTATATATTAAAATAATAACTCTAAATTTTAAACCATTGTCAGTAAATTATTTATCTTTTATTGTTCTCAATGTTGGTTTATTTATAAGTTTGGCTAAGAAATTTTTTTTGTCGTAACTAATTTCAGGTCAATCCTTTAAACCTTTAAAATTAATTTTTAGTGTGTAATAATATGATCATTTGTTTAAAAGTTATTTGATTGTTCTGTTTTTCTATTTTATGCTCTGTACATTATTTTTTTAACTCAAAGATATTGCTACTTTTTTGATGCTTATAACTAACACTATTTTTGATTTATTGGTAGTTTTTGCTAATGAATAAAATCAAATATTACTAATGAAGTAATTAGTAATGAAGTGTTTTTATATATTATAAATTTGTAATTTTTTTTATTGCTTTTAGCGTAAAATAGCCAATGAAATTACTGATAGACAACACTTCTATTACGATAAATTAAGAGGATATGTTCATATATTTAAAGACGATGTCATGAAATTTGATGAAGATTATTTAATGGCATGTATCATATTATTCTTTCCTCACATATTAAATATTCCATTATTTCATATTTTTGTAGTTGTACTCACCCATTCCCCATCATTTTATATGCCTTATTATAATACTGCATTTATTCTCCTGTATTATACTGCTCTGATGCTCTTAATTCTTTTATCAATTTTTATCAAACTGCAGAAAACTTAGTGTAAATAAAAATTAGCTCTAAACTGTGATTCTGAAAAATCTTATCTTATTTTAGCCTTTGCTTGTTTAGCAAATTGACTATTTTTCTCTGCCTTTCCAACCAATTTTATTAATACTTGGGACTTTACTGTTTATACATGTTTAATTAAAGTGTTAAATGATAACTTCTGTAATCTAGGTTGTGCCTTCTTAAAATTTTTATGTAATTTTTGAATAAGAGGCCTAAAATCTATACTAAAGACTGCAATAAAAAACACCTTGTATCGAAGATTCAAACTATTTTTATAGAATCTGTATAGAAACTACCCACGAATCTTGTTTGAAGTAAAATCTAATTGAATAGATTTTCCTTAACTTTGGATGTGTTGTTCTTTTCAAAACTCTGAACGAAGCACTAAATTTATTATCTTATAATAAACTATCAATTTTTTACATGTTTCAATTTTAGTTCAGATCAAAATTTTGAGAACACAAACAAATCTAAATTTCCACACTCCTTCCCAAAGAAAATACAAAGATTTTTACTATTTGTTTTTTATGTATTTTTAATTGGAAGTGATTTTATTTATTGTTATGTCCAATTTTTTTAGATTGGACCAATGGTAGAAGGGATAACTCCCGAAGAAGCAAGTGATCGTGTTGATCTTTTTTCGGTAGGTGTACCTGTTTTTTTTTTTTAAAAATATTTTTCTCAATTGCTTTCATTTAGGTTCTTACTGCCAGCATTGTATTGTATGCTATCTTATATATATATATACAGTAGAACCCCCGTTTTGCATTGTCTGTTTTATACATTATCCTGCTTTCTACATCATTTGCTCCTGGTCCGTGAAAATTGCCTATATCAATAATGTTAAATTATCTCGAATTTTACATCACATTTTTTTGAAAAAGTCCCTGTTCAAACGTTTTTCGAACAGATTAAAAACTTTTTTTCTACAAAGTTTGCATATTTTTTAAAATAAACCTGTTTATTAACTTTTCTGGAAGTCTTTCTATTCTATCTTATTGTCCTTTTGGCTTTTAGATGGAATTTCCCGCTTCAGTCATTATCAGAGGCATGGTGGGATGGGCACAGCACGAGAAGGGTGGTTAACGGAAGTATGGGAGCTTAAATTGTTAAATGAGAGTGTGAAATTGTTTTGAAAGCAACATTTGAAACTTAGAATTATCCAATCATATTAAGAACATTATTCTAAAAAACTGGTTAGGTAATCATTTTTTTTTATTCTAATGACCTGCAAGATACTTCTAAAGCGAAAAGAAATGCTCGGGTTGCTTTGTATTTGATTTCTGCAGTGTTGGATGGGATCAACTAAAATGTATTTAAAATGAGTTTAATAAAGCTTCTCTAGTTTAATTGTGTCTCTGTGTCCATCAGGAACAGTCCTTCTGAATAAAATTGAGTGAACTGCAACACACATCCTATTACTTTTCAATTTCTTCAATATCTGTTTTAATGCCTGCTCCCGATCATAGTGATGAAATCAATGAAGCTGATCAAAGAATATCGGAGGATATACTTACAACTGATCAAGAGTTTGAAAGCAATAAAAACTCAGAAACATTTGTGAAACCGTAACAAATGTGTAAAACATAAAGCAAATTTGCAAACAGTAAATATTGAGAGAGATATAGTTAAAATTGCATCTAAAAGCAAAAAACTTAAATGTTTACACATTTTTTATTGTAGTTCATGTCAAAAATATGAATATTTGAAAAATATACGTTAATTTTTTTTAATCCTGATTTTAGGTTATCTTGCTTCGGGCGCCATTCAATGCTAGCAGTAAAATCAGGGTTCCACTGTGTATATACATATATAGTAAATCCTCATTCATATTTTATAGAACCATTCACTATGAATGTGGATTAACATAAAAAATCAAATAATGGCTTGAAAATGTATGAAAAACGACAAGTAATGGATTCGAAAATTAATAAATTTACAATAAGTATAAAGAAATTATGTACTGAAATGCAAAAATATTTACAATGCAAAAAAAAAAGATGAATAAACATAATTTTTTATTTAAAATATCTGGTCATTTTGTTTTGAACACACTCATTTCTTCTCAATACAAGCAATAAATTTTTGACATTCATTGTCTATTTTCTGTAAGTTTGCTTAATAGAGAAAGTTCTTCACTATTTCAAAACCGTTAAGGCTTTTCACGAATGTCGATACTGCTTGTGGCTTCGTTTCATCGGTATTGCCTTGCACTTCTTCAGTTTCGGAAAATATTTCTTGTATTATTTATATTTTGAGTTTCTTAACAACACTCTGAAGGGTTCTTATTCTGAAAAATTTCTTAATTGACCAATTAATAAAATCTAGCCATGACTGGAATAGAAATATTTTTTGTGTCTATTTATAATTAAATATCATTATAACAAATCATATTACTTATAAATAACTATAGCCCTTCCACAAATCTGCAAAAGTACACTTTTTTTAGAAAGATTGTTGCTAGAAACATATCATTCTTGTCAATCATATGTTAATAAATGTCTGAAATGTGTCCATAGGATCGCCTTGATCAACTGTATGAAAGGTATGAGAGATACCGTGGTTGTGAGGAATTATTTGGCTTTAAGACATCTGAGTACCCAGTGTTGGTACAAACAAAGAAGGACATGGTTCTTTTGCAAAAACTGTTCAAGCTCTTTAATCAAGTGATGAAAAAGATTTCCGGCTATTTTGAGAGCTCTTGGAAAGATGTTGATGTGCAGGTTATGACTGACGAACTGACTGATTTTCAGAATAAGTTAGCATCATTTATCATATTTTATTGACATAAATTGTATATTTTGTAAGCCTCTTTCATTAAATTTTAGTTTTCAAATTATTCTGGATGGAGGTGGCTTTTTGTCTTTCTCTAGAAATCCTTAGTAATTTTTTGTGTTTAACCGTCCTCCAATTTTAAAGCTTATGGTCAAACTTTTCAGGATCTCTGACAAAGTTATTGCATCACAGATTAGAAGTTAACTAATTTCTTTTTAATTTGTTTGTACTTTTTTGTTTATCTTTTTTAATTATGAAATATTTTAAAATATAAATCTTAGTTTGCGTATTGTTAATTTTTTTAATCTTTTTTGCTATGTCTAATAAAATCCACGGATTACATCATCCATTTTGGAGTCTAGCACTATAGCCTTCACTTAACCACACAAAAGTTTGAACTTTCTAAAGCAGCCTCTGAATCACTTCAAAGGAGGTGACCACTTTGAAAGAAATTAATTTATTTAACAGTAAAATTTTACTCGTATTATTATTTGTTATATTTTTTTTAGTTTGTTAGCTATGACTGCGAAACATTCAAAATTGTATGATCTAAGTAAGGAAAAGTTTGTTTTCTGTTTTTGATGTTGATCATATTGATTGTTAATTCTTTTGGTGACATGATAACATCTTCACGCGAAATGTCAAAATACACATTATAAATAAAATTGTGCAAATGTCAGTATCTTGCAGGTATTTCATAATATTTATTCTTTGCCTACAGTGCACGAAATAAAAAGAATGCATAAAAATAACCATCGATCTAAGAGTGAAAAAGTTATAACCTAAAAAGTTCTGTTTTCCCTAAAATTATCTTAGGATAAAAAAAACTTTATAATTTTGTACTTCACAAGCTTATTTTTGGCCTATATGATTTAAAAAAAATTGGAACGAAACATGTTTGGTCACGAACTTCTGTTTCCTAGTATAAAAATTTTTCCTGTATCCGATTTAGGATCACCATTTTAATAAATCATGCTTAAAGTGTTTATTAAAGCAATAATAAAATAAACCACAAAGTTCTACTCTTAAAAATATTTAATAATTGTTTCAATTTTAGATTACTTAAATTTTTTTAATGGTTTTAAGGTGAGATTGTAAAAAATAGTAAATTGTTCGAATTTCATTTAGAACAAAACATGCTTATAAGCAGAAGAATTCAAACAAAATATTTTTTTAAAAAAATTATCCTTTAATATACTTAAGTTTAAAAAAAAGGTGTTAAGATGTGATTGTTAAAACGTGTAAATGTTTAATGTATAAAATAGAATTTGTATTAAATGTAGAAATTTTTTCCTACTTTGTATTATCAATTTTTAGGTGCCTGAGATTGCCCAAAGGCTGCAAAGAATGGACCTATTTTGCAGAATTGAAAAAGAGAATTGAAGATTTTAAAGAGACATGCCCTCTCTTGACGAGACTCAGAAATGATGCCATGACCATGGATCATTGGCATAGAATCGAAAAAATATGTAGCCATAAATTTGATGATGATCAATCTAAATGGACACTTGGGACTGTTATGGAAGCTCCATTATTACAATTTAAAGATGATGTTGAGGTTAATTTTTTGCTATTTTTTTTATTAGTTTCTTTTCAATCAATGGAACCTGTGTAGGTTGCAATGTAGCAAATAGATGATTACCAGAGACTACATTTTATTTATAAGAAATACAAATTATGAGAGTTGAGACAAGCAGCTTTAAGCCTCTAAAACGCCTTTTCAAAAACCCAGTAGCTCCTTTGTTAAATAATGAGGATTTCTATACAAATTGTTCAATGTAAAGTGCTTGATTGGTTAAAATTTTCCAGAGTTAATAATTAGGAAGAAAAAAGATAGCTGAATAATTAGGAAAAAAGATAGCTGAATAATTAGGAAAAAAGATAGCTGAATAATTAGGAAAAAAGATAGCTGAATCAATTACCACATTTGGTAAAAATTTTTGCTTTTGATATATTTTTCTAGATGGATATATGTATTAATAAAATTGAGATAAATGATAAATATAATTTTTATGAAATTATATGATGTATAGCTAGCGTGTCAATGTTAATAAAGTAGCTATATGCTAGGTATGTTTTTTCTTTTAATGATAAACCAAAACACATAACTGATCCAACACTTTCTATCAATTGCTATGGGAACCAACTTGTGTGTGAAATGAAAGTAGTTTGCACACAATGCCACCATTGTGCCCTTGGACTCAAAATTACTGAATCTTAGCTTTCATTATACGTTTGGTGGACAACTAGTGCACCTTACGTTTCTGTGTTAATAAGAATGCTTCTAATTATTTTATGTACTTTTTAAGATAAGTTTATTTTTGTATAAAGTAGTATTTCTGAATCATATAAGTTACAAAAAAATGAAAGTTTTTAAATGTTAATTTTATTTTATAATAAAAAAATATCCCTTTTAACTTTTTTCAATCTCATAAATTTCTAAAATATATGTAGTCAAACTCGCTTATTACGAGCTCAGATTTAACGAACAAATTGAAAATACAGTGGAGCATCGTTTATACGACGATCACTTATACGACGTTTACATGGTAAATTNAATAAAAAAATATCCCTTTTAACTTTTTTCAATCTCATAAATTTCTAAAATATATGTAGTCAAACTCGCTTATTACGAGCTCAGATTTAACGAACAAATTGAAAATACTTGGTTGGTACAATATTCTATTTGAGAATAGCTCCCTTTTAATGAGCAAACCTCAGTTTTTATGAGCAATATTTTTGTGATTCATAAAATTTCTGCATGCATCCACTTTTCCAGCTTAGCTAATCCCTTCTTGGAAATATTTGGCATTCCGAGGATGACTGAAAGTTGGTGAGGAGTCATTAATTCAGCAAATATGAGCACTTTTTTTTAAAGCAAGGGTGCAAAGGACAATGTTTTTTGTGTCATGAGTCTAATCTGAAGACTAATAATGCAACAAAGAGAAAATACTGTATATCGCTGTGAAGTCTACAGTTCAAACCCCCAAAATTTTACAAAAATAAAAGGGTCGACTTATGCCTCGGGAAAAAAGTCGAACATTCATTGATCATAAAGTATCAAAGCTTTGTAAACAGTGAGATAGATAGGAAAAACTTTGTACCAATTTTCCCTTTTCAAATCTTATATATTTTTCTTTGATGTATTACATGTAGTTAGTTTTGCATTTTCCCTCATCTTATTCTCTTTATATATAATTTTTTTAAAACAACATTGTAAATTATGTTCAGAAAAAAAATTAAGATAATTTATTCAGGAGTTTCACTTTTTAAACAAAGAAAATTTGTAAACTTAATAATTTTTATTTTATAATTTTAGAAATTTTCATATTTGGTGTTTTCAGCCGTTGATTTATACACCAGCCATCCCAAAAATTTGCTATCTCCCATTCAAAAATAGGGGATTGACTTTACCCCATAATATATGGCAAGACTGTTAAAAGCAAATTAACTAACTTCTTTGGTACTGTACAAGAATAAAAATATTTATAATATAGTGACTGTTTATTATATAGTAGATAGTTTATTTATAATACAGTGAGTATATATATATCTTTGTGATTTTTTTCATAAACCAGTTTCTTACGGGAATTTGGTTATGACAAGCAAATATATTATGGCTCATTTGCTCTCATTATAAGGTAGTTTGACTGTAATAAAAAATAAAAATTTCCGTGCTTTAATTTTATTTTTGAAATATTTTAGGATGTATCAATAGCTGCTGAAAAAGAAAGAGAAATTGAAGCGAAGCTTAACCAAGTCATTGCCGATTGGGCTCTGGAAAACTTGTTCTTTTCTTCTTTCAAAAATCGTGGTGAACTTTTGATTAGAGGCACAGAAGCAAGTGAAACAATAGTGAAGCTAGAAGATGGATTGATGACACTTGGATCCCTCTTGAGTAACAGGTATGGCTTCATTGATTTCGATTGAATCTATTTGCACTTTTTTTTATGCTTAAATTGTGTTTTGTAGTACAAAATTTTGAGATTTTTTTTAGTATTTGTGACAGAGTTCATCTATTATACTCTATATAACTAAACAGACTCATACTGAATAAGAATAGTTTTTTTTTTAGTAAAACTAAATTGTCTCCTGTCGCATGTTTAAATTGATTATACTCTAAACGTTATAAAGAAAAGATTTCCAAAGATAAAAAAATATGTCTAAAAGGGATGAGTTTGCAAATGATAATAGTGAAATAAAATGTTTTTATTTTAATTGAATAAAAAAAGGTGGGTAATTATTTTGAATTTCATTGCTAAAATCATTGAAATAAAAACTTAAAATTTCTGTAAAAAAAAATTGCTTTTATTTTCCAAGCTTCTAATCAATTCACTTAAAAACGATGACATGTAACATATTTGAATTTGCTTCTTTATAATTATTTTTATAGTAGAAACTCATTATTAGTTTCAAAATGATACTGAATTTTTCTTGCTATAAAAATTACAGGTATTCATCTGCTATAAAAGAGATCATTCCAAAATGGATGCATTACCTGACAACTTCAACTTTTCTAACTTTATTGTTTGAATCATTGAAATAAAAACCTGAAATTTCTATAAAAAATTTGCTTTTATTTTTCAAGGTTTCTATCAATACACTCGAAAACGATGACTTGTAACTTATTTGAATTTGTTTCATTATAATTACCATTATAGTAGAGACTCATTATTTTTTGAAATGATGTTGAATTTGTTTTGCTGTAATAATGACAGGTATTCAGCTGCTATGAAAGACATTATTCTGAAATGGATGCACTACCTGACAACTTCAACAGAAGTGATTGAAAACTGGCTTGTGGTGCAGAATCTGTGGGTCTACTTGGAGGCTGTGTTTGTGGGAGGAGATATTGCAAAACAATTGCCACAAGTAAGACACTACCCACAAATAAGTACTTTTATTTTATAAAAATTAAAATTTATTATCAAATATTATTTTGTATCCATTTGCTTTCAAACATACAATTTCGGCAATATCCTTTGTGGAATCTCATTCTTTGTAGCAAATAAAATGTTTTTATAACAATTAAGTTTTTTTTTTAATACATTGACCGGTAAACACTATTTCAATATTTTTTCTCTAATTTATAATTTTGAGCTTTAGAGTCTAGGTGTATTGTTTTGCTTATCCTGTCTAATTTATGGTGTCCTCAGTTTGTCAGATGAAATAAGCTATCTGTACTAGTTTTAAATTAAAATAGGTATCACTTGTAATAACTTGAAAGTGATTCTAACTTTATTTTTTAAATGAATGGATTTTAACCACCATTTAAATTAGACCTTTTATATTAAACAGCTGTTAAAAATACTTTTGAAAATCAATAATGTAGTACAAAAAAAAATAGTGCTGAGTATTTATCAATTGACTCTTGTTTTAGAAAAGATGGTCTTGTGATGTTATCTTTAGTTATTTCACAGGAAAGTTTATAAAGTATAAATAATAATGTTATAATTTGTAATTGTTATTATTTATAATTATAAATATACTTAATGTTATAATTTATAAATTAAAAAGTTACTTTTAGTTATTTTTTGTATAATTTTCTCCACTCTCCAAATAAAACTGTACTGCCTCGTGAAAAATATAAAATACTTTCTCAAAATTCTCTATATTTATTTATTGTAGGAAGCAGAAAGATTTGCAGTCATTGATAGTACTTGGGTCGGCTTAATGGAAAGAGCACATGAGTTAGTAAATGTTATTAAATGTTGTGCTTCTGATGATACAATGAGCAAAGCATTACCACATCTCTTGGAAGAGTTAGAAGCATGCCAAAAATCACTTGTTGGGTTAGTATTTAACATTCTTAGTTGTGTAAGTTTCTTTGTTTAAGCTTACTTTTTATTAATGAAACCCACTGACAGTTATATAAATTTTGAAACGTTTTTCTCCCCATATACCGGCTTCAAATCTAATAACATGAGAGAAAACTGGTTTTGCATCATTATGAGGAATGCAGATCTAAATAAGACTTCCATTTCCCATGTCATTTTGCTATTTCAGAAATTGTAGCTATTTGTTCCAGAGTAACAGTATTTTTTACATATAATAAGGGCTAATAATATAACTAAAATATTAAACCAAAAAAATCCAACTGGCTATGAATTTGAAACTTTTATTTGGATTAATTTTAATTATTCAATTCCATTTTATTTAATCATCACAAAAATCTTGTTAGAGGCAGAATTCATGTTTGCAAGAACTTATTTCAAACTTGCCTGCGTCAATTGACACAAAAAAAATGGTTGTGCCTATTTGCATAATTTTCATTTCTAATTTAAAATGTTATAAAAATATTTGTTGGATAAGTTCAAAAACTTACCATATTTGTATAAAAAAAAAGTAATGCTCTTACACAGTTAACTATGCATCTAATGTGAAATTATCAAAATTTTCAGATATTTAGAAGGAAAAAGAAAAATATTCCCTCGATTTTTCTTCATTTCTGATCCAGCTTTATTGGAAATTTTGGGACAAGCAAGTGATTCACACTCTATTCAAGTAAAACTCATTAATTAATTAAATTTATACATTTCTGCTACGAAATTTTCTCTTAGTGGCATAACAAAACTTGTCTACTGTTATTGTTGTTTAATAACTTTTATTTTGATAGGCTCATCTTCTTGGAATATTTGAAAATGTAGCCAAAGTGAAATTCGATGATGATGAATACAACAAGATTACTGCTGTATTGTCCAAGGAAGGAGATGAAATCATAGTAAGTATCAAGTCGATATTCTACCTACTAAGCATTTAGTAGTGAGTGGTTAAATTATTAGGTTTATTAATTAAATTATGTATACAACGTTCCTAGTGTTCTAATTTTTCTGATGAAAAATATTTTGTCTTATTTTTAGTTTTTTACCTTGATGATTCTAAGTTTTTTGTGCCATTTTCTACCTACAATTTTAAATTTTAAAATTATTGATTGGAAAAATCAAAATATTTGAGATTTTGTTTTAGCATTTTTTTTATTTTAATTGATATTGCTAGTAATATTTGCAAAATTTGATAGTTCAAACTTGGGGACCGTCAACTTAACTATAATGCATTGTACAAACAAATAGCCTTACATGCCAGATGCCGGTAGGTTGTTTATTGCTAAGAAAACAAGAGTAAAACTCTCTCTAATGGGATACATTTTAATAGAAGACATGACTCCCAACCAAAGCAATGCAAAATGTTTAACCCAACTCTGTTCGAAGTGACTTAGCTTTGCAACCATAACAGCCGTTAGCTTGCGAGTCTGGAGGAATTCTCGTGATAGCTGGATAGTAATTTATATTTATGCTTATTTAAAGTATATATGAGTCGGAATGATTTTATATGCAACTGAAAATATTGTTTTCAATGCCATATGTTAATTAACTTGGTTACCAGCTTTGCAATTTAAATTTAAAGAAACTGGCTTTCTAAACAGAATGCATTTGTTTCCTTTCACTTTTTTTTAAAATTTTTAGTCTTTGTTTTAGATACTTAGTTCATATCTTGCATAGACTGTTAAAAAGCTTTTTTAATAATTTGATTGATAATAACGAATTTGCTTGTTTTTATTTTAGCTGGATAGACCTGTTATGGCTGAAGGAAATGTAGAATTATGGCTTGGAGACTTATTAGTAGTTCAACAAATGTCTTTAAATTCTGTCATTAAAAAAGCTTATGAAAGTATCAATTCTGAAGAGTTTGAACTTATCTCATTTATTGACCAATATATAGCACAAGTAAGTGAATTTCTTTTTTAAAATTAAATTTTTTTTTGCATAACAGAGTATTGAACTCAGAATTTTTTGAACACATAATCTTATTTTATCAAAAATATTTTCAAAATTGTGTTCTTTAGCTTTAATTCTCAAAACATTTATAATATCATATCTTATATTGTATGTTACAATGGTTTATTTAAATTAAAAAATAACATAAACATCAATTAGTTGGATTTTTAATTTATCACCAATTATGTTTTAATTATAAAAATTGGTGAACTTTTTTTGTTAAAATTTTTAGCTTTTCATGCAAAATAATATAAAATTTAGAGAAATCATTTTTTAAAATTTCAATGATTCAGTTCTTGAATTTTTGGGCTATTTTTACAGAAAAATATCTATTGAATTGATTTAAAATTAGTTTTTTTCCAATTTTAAAAAATCCATTTAAACTGACAAGAAAGACATCTTTTTTTTCCTTATAATTTATTTTTAACTAAAAAAAACAAGTTGCTTACAGTTTTTTAGTTTTTACGAGAATAAAAAAAAACACGATATTTTCCGTGTTTCATTCAATAATAGAATAGGCAAGATTGGATTGGGATGGGGTAAAGGCACACTTGCCCAGGGGTGTTTATTCTATGTTACATGTTAAGAAAAAAACATTATCTCTACGGAGAATGCCTGTTTGCATCTAAATACACGCCAAATGAATGCCAAACTCCCAGCGCAGACATATATTGACATAGCCAACTCTTGAAACTACGTTATACAGTCTTCTTTTTCACTTGCTTTCTTATTAACAACAATAATCTATTAACAACAATAATCTATTAACAAGTATTAAAAATGTTATCTAAAAAATTATAACAAGTATTTTTTTTCTGTATGCATTTAAAGAAATTGTTGAAAGAATAATAAATATTGTTTCTTGAAGACTATTATCTTCTACAGCAAAACAAAAGTAAAAATTATTTGTCTCGCATTTAATTTGTTAAGAGCATGTCAGCATAAGATGTGCCATTTGTAATGGTCCAATCAAATTTAATGATCTTGCAACGTCTTATAGTTGTTTCTTTATCAAGAACAATTGTTCTTCTTATATGGAAACCTGTCGCCAAGTCTAGGATTCCAGTAAAACTATGAAGCTATAACCTTTTTTTAAAAAATTCTATGATACATATTGTAAACGATAGCATGAACTAAATTTTTGTCTAACAAGTTCAACTTTTAAAAGCTTTCATGTGGTTTTGAAAGCATATTTGTGTAATTTGATAACGAAATAAGACAGAACTATATGCGGTAACGGATGATTACTTAAATGCTATATCGCTATTGTATTTTCTTAACTTGCAACAGGGTATAGTACCTAATGTTTTTACTATTTCAGTTTTTAAACTTCATTCAAGGCTATGCCTTGTTAATTTATTACATTTTTACTTAATTTTTCAAGTCCAATCAAATTAAATGACATTTATGGGTAAATTTTTACTTTTACTGTGAGAAAAGTAACTGAAATCTCAAATCAATCAAAAATTTAAGGCTATGTTCACATTAGTGTGGAAAGTAGAGTCTGTACTTAGTTTTATATGAAACTATTCAATGAGATTCTAATCAAATTTAAAATATGATTGGTGCAAAACGCTAAGTACAAATTAAGATCCCATATTAATTGTACTGTATGCCGTGGGATAGTCTTTTGATAATAAACATGATTAAAAAAAGTACTAGTTGTTTAGTTCTTGAGAATGTTGGGGATCCTTAATAGGTATTTTGCGAGAGGAATCTTTTCCCCTCAATCAGGCTCTCTAACATGAAATCGCATTTCCTGTTTGTGCTAATTATGCATTGCTATTTTAATTTACTTTTGATTATCATTTATTAATCTATGTTTAAGATATTCTACCAATGAAATTAAATATTGACATTTTTCTTAACTAATTGTGTATTTGTAGGTAGCACTTTTAGGAATTCAGATTATCTGGACAACCAAAGCAGAAGAAGCACTTGTAAATGCAAGGACACATAAGAAATATATGACTTTCACCAACAAAATGTTTGGAGAAATCTTGAGAAAACTTATTGCGCAAACTACACTGAACTTGTCAAAATTTGTGAGGGTCAAATATGAGACTCTCATTACAATTCATGTTCACCAAAAGGATATTTTTGAGGAATTGGTAACTAAATCTTGTTTGTTCTTGTTTGACTGTATCATCATTTTGTTTTTTTCTTCTTGTCTATTGGAATTGGGTACAATCTAATCTCATTGAGCACAGTAATTAATTTCTCTTTAATCATAATCATGTTTGCATGTAATCAAAATTACAATCGAAACAATTATTTGTAGTTGTAGATTATTATCACTTATACTCATAGTTTAAAATTCGTTATAACTACAATTGCAATCATATTGTTCATATTCACAATTAAGATTGTAATAAATGATTTTAATTACTTGTAATCATAAATCAAAGTAGTTACTTGTAATCAATTTAATTTCCCCCAGCTTTTCTATATCTTACTTTATACATATATTTTTTAAACAAAATTTTATTAATTTTTTTAATTATTATATTTTAGATATGCAACATGATAGTGCAACATGAAATTAACTATATTCATGTTGTACTTTCAAACTTCTGTTTTAAAATCATAAGATGGCAAAATTTTCATTCTGAGTATCTTGTTAAAATATATGTAGCATGTTAAAAGAATTTACAATGAAATATAATTTGAAAAAATTTATGAATATTCTTTGAATTTTTCTTGATATTTTTTAAAAGTACATCTTTAATATATAAGTGTGTGTATGTTATATATATATAATGATTTTTTTCGTAAATATTGAATAAATGTATTAAAAATATTTTTAAGTATCACATCTTTTTTATAGGAAAAATACAATAAGCATTGCCTGAGTACCAGGTAGTTAATGCATGTAATACATGTTTTTTTTCTCAAATGTAATAAAATATATCAGTGATTATTTTATTTCCTATTTCAGAGAATGTAATCAAAATATCATGGATATTTATCATTGTGGATATTTTAATACTACTTTTAAAAATAAGAACAAATTTAAATAGTCCAAGAAATATCCTTTCTTTTAAAGACCGCAATTTGCTTTGTTCTATTTGGAATTGTGTTTTCAAATTTTGCCTTATGTATCTGACCATTTCGTTTTTGTATCTTGTCTTTGCTGTATTGCTTTGAATGTTTTTATGTATTTAACCATTCTTGTCTTATATCTTGTCATGCATGGTCTTTAAGTTTCTAATTGTTTGTACTGTCCATTTTCTTTCTAGTGTGTTTGTCTTCTTATTTATGATTTTTTTGGTGAATCACCATTTTTCCTTTCATATCACATCATCATATATCATATCACATCATCATATATCATTTCACATTATATCATATATCATTTCACATTATATCATATATCACATTATTATTATCATTTCACATCATATCATATATCACATTATTATTATCATTTCACATCATATCATATATCACATTAATAATATCATCGGTTGTCAAATTTTATTATGTTTTAATTGTCATTTTTTATTAAACAGTATTTTAAAATTTGGCAACTATAATGGTTACTGTAGTTTCAATGTGATATATCGCTCATATTTTAAACAAAGTTACCTTTTAAGTATATTGCTTTTAATTTTTATAAATTAATATGATTATTTTTTATTCTCAGGTTAAAAAGAAAATAAAAACCCTCACAGATTTTGAATGGTTGAAACAAGCACGATTTTATTACTTTATGGATGATAACATGTGCAAAGTTAAAATTACTGATGTGGATTTCATTTACCAAAATGAATTTTTGGGTTGCACTGATCGCCTTGTTATTACCCCTTTGACTGATAGGTAAAAAATTATTTATAATTGATAGGTAAAAAATTATTATAAATTATTTTAATCTTTGAAGTTGTAAAAAAAGCTTATTTTTAACTAGTGACTTTCATCATAGTATTTATGGCAGTTCATTGATATGGTTAAGTAGTAGGGATGGATTAGAGCGTGTTGAATATTCTAATCTAGAGGGATTTTTTGAACTCAAACCTGAGTATTATTCTTTTTTGTTTTATAAATCAAAGTTTTCCTTAAAAACATATGTACTTGCACTCATATATTTTGACATAAACTAATTAATACATAATCAATTATACTATCCCAGATTGGCAAGTTTCTACCTCATCTTGCCGCAGAAGAAATGTATTTCAAATTTCCGAAACTTTTCTTATTTGAAATTGCAAATTTTATATGATTCTAATTATAGTTCATAATTTAAGTATATATTCTAAACATCGTTTCCTTATGATGTTTGCTCAATATTATTTCTTACAAAAATCTTCAATTTTGAAAGAATGTTGTTATAGAAATTGTATCATTTTTAACAGTGTTATGATAGTTTACCATTGTTTTTATTGTTTTATTATAAATGCACTGCAATATTGCTCATGAAGCATTTACTCCATTTATAACCTTTCGACCACTACTATATTTATATTTTTATTTTGCGCAGTGCCTAGCACCTAGATTAAACTGATAACCACATACTTTGCCAACTTAATTTCATTGATCGACCCCACATTCCTGCTTTCAACTTACATGCCTCAGCGATGTTATGTATCGCCTCTCTGCATGCTCTGAATGTTATATTTTAATTGATGGAACTACTTATATTATTTTTCTAATAATCAATTTATTTTTTCTTAGACCCTCTCACATTTATATACTGGTTCCTTTTATTTACTTTCCTGATCATCATTTTATTATTTAGTACTTAGAGCATGCAGAGGGGACTGAAAAGGGGTTAACTATAAACCTTGCTCCACACGGGTCCTATGATGCATACTAAATTACTGTTAAGTTTCTATCTTTAATTGATTGAATTAATTCGTTGAAGAAACACTAATAAAAGTCATCCTCTATAATTTTCTGATTTAATTTAAATTACATTAAAATTGTTTTAGACCTTATTTGAGAAAAATTTTGCCCATTGCCTCTCGAAAAATTTTGTTATCCCTGATAGAATCTGCGGTGTTCCCAATGAAATCTCATATAGTTGACAATTTTGAAATCATTATTTTGATGGTGTGGCCAAAAATATTGTTGTGGCTCTCTAAAATTTTGTCTGCTTTGGAATTCTGGAACTATTAAAGTTGAAAATCAAAATGTGGATATCTTGAGGTTAAAACTAAATTTGACCATGTTGATTATTGTTTTTATCTATTGTTGTTTAAGTATACTCTGCTTATTTGGCAGCTTTTTTTGGCAATAAGTTATATTGAATAATGATTAGCTATGTTTATTGCAGGTGTTATATTACTTTAGCTCAGGCTTTAGGCATGAGCATGGGAGGTGCACCAGCTGGCCCTGCTGGAACTGGAAAAACTGAAACTACTAAGGATATGGGAAAAGCTTTGGGAAAATATGTTGTAGTCTTTAACTGCTCTGATCAGATGGATTTCAGAGGCCTAGGACGCATTTATAAAGGTGATACTTAATTTTCTAACTTCTTTTTCCTTTCTGCATATTCCTGGGGCAAATCAGATCTTAAATTGCTTTAACTAATTATTACATTCAATGCTTACATTCTTTGACAAAAGGCTTTTTACTATTGGATTTTCATTTACATTAATTATACATTACATTACACATTTTTCAATGAGAAATAACTGAATTATCTTGTTTTTGCCCTATAAAATTATTTTATGTAGAATTTATTTGATTTATTAAATGTTTATTTTTTAAAGAATTCAGTCTTTTAACCTTGGTATGGAGTTATTTAGACAACCCATTTCCCAGTTTCCTCGTGATGTCATAAATATTAATTTAATAATAATTATTTCATAACTATTTTAAGTAATTCTGTGAGAAACGCCTATTTTTAATCTTACTTATCTCTAAGTTATTTTATTTTTACCCGAAAAATGTTTTGGTTTCGGGGTTATATTAAATTTTGACTGTCTTTTTTCGTGATTAAGTTATAAGCCAAATTATATAAATTTAATGTTAATAACATGAGATTGACTTTATTTTTGGCAATATTATTTCTTGATAATTCTCTAACAATCTCTTCCCATGATTCTTGATTTAAAATTGGGGTGAGGACTGGGGGTTTTTGCGTCCAATGGCCCCTCAGTTCAACTGTTGGAAAATATTTTAATGTTGAAAAGTAATATTAATTTTTTACACTTAAAAATAAAGGTTTGCTTAGTGATCTACTAGTATGATATTAAGTTTATAAGTATAGACAATCGTTCAAAATGCTGCCTAATAAAGAGGATAACTTTTTGTTTTCATTGAAAGTGTTTTTTTGATTTTTTGCTCATGTCTCATCAACTTCTCAAATTTAATACAAAGGAAGATATGATTCCAATTCCAAACAACATACCCCTTTCTGCATACCATAGGACTATTCAAATGTTACAAAACCATATTTTTCGGTGATTTTAGACCCCCTTTTCTACAAAAATAAGCAAATCATAAACCATTTCTTTCCCTCTCTTTCTAAAAAAAATCATGTTTTAAAAACCTCTTCACAGTTGAAAGAAACAAGGGGAAAAAATGTGGTTACAATTAAAATATATAAAAATGCTTTGTTTTACCATTTTTTGTTAGTCTCTACAAATATATTTTCCTTACATTTACACTTCAATGAATTTCTAAATATATATCATTACGAATTTCGGATCTATTTCTTATTAATTTATATCTGTCTTCTCTATCTAGAAATGTATTATTTTTTAATAACTAAATTGATTCTCTTTAGGCTTGGCGCAGTCAGGCTCTTGGGGATGTTTTGATGAATTCAACAGGATTGAACTACCTGTTTTATCTGTTGCTGCCCAACAAATACATATTGTTTTATCAGCTAGGAAAGAGAAAAAAGAAGAATTTGTGTTTTCTGATGGTGACATTTTAGGATTGAATCCTGAATTTGGACTTTTTATCACAATGGTACTCTACTGACTCTTTTTATTAGAAATCTTTCTATGCATTGTTTCATTTAAAAAAAATCTCTCTCTGTGTATATATATATGCATGCATGCTCTTTGACTTAATGGACGAAAAAATAACTTTACGATAAATCAAATAAAATAACAAGCTTGTTAATCAAAGTATGAAGCGGATGTTTTTACTTTAAAAATATTTTCAGACTTATGTTTCTATAAATTTAACTTTATAATTTATCAAACAAATTTTAAGGCCACTAAATAAATATTTTTAAAGTTTTTCAATTTATTTAAAATTTATAGTAATGGATTTTTTATGTTTATCTAAATCTTTGATATCTCATGATTAAGTAGGAATATTTTTTTGTTAAATTTGTCTTTTTTTCTCCTCTAAAACTTGACAAATTTTAAACTTTTTGTAAATGAAACTGATAAAAATATGTTTAACTATCTCTTGATAAATATTATCGCTTTAACTTTATCCAAATATTCAAAACAAAACATTCAAGAAAGATGAGTAACGTAAAAATTCCATAAAAATAATGCAAAGCAAAAAATCTACAATGAATTGTTTTGTTTGTATGGGTATCTGTGAAAAAATTTCAGCCTTTAAATCAAATAATGTATTTTTCTTTTTACCTTGAATGTGAATGTTTACTTTCTTATATGGAAATAACATTTGAAATGGTTCTTGTAAACATATAAATTTTTTATTCATAAATTTTAACTTTTGATGATAGTGGTATATTCATAAAAATGTTTTGTTTCTTTTGTATATTTTTAGCTTGGATTTCTGAATTTTCATACAATAAATTTTTAACATTTATTAAAAATTATTCATTTTCTTCTTGTTTGCTACATTTTTAAGAAAAATTATATCATGATCTGTGTATTGAATTTACTTCAAGTTTAACTAAGAAATATTTTGTTTTCTTTTTATTAGCAAAATATATCTGATGCTATTGTTTTTCCAGAATCCAGGTTATGCTGGAAGACAAGAATTGCCTGAAAACTTAAAAGTCATGTTCAGAAGTGTGGCGATGATGGTACCAGACAGACAAGTAAAATTATATATAATTTTTCTTTCTTATCTTTTTTTTCCCCTATGCCCTCAAGCACTCAAATTAAAAGACTTTAACAGTAGTTAATTTAACTTTTTCAATTACTTATATTGCAGTACAGATTTTTTTTAACAGTGATATTAATATGTTTTTGTAACTAGTTGCAAGTTCAGATAAATATGAAAGTGGATTGCAGAACCAGTAATTACAAATTATTTTATTGTTATTATTATTTGCTTGCAGATCATTATGCGTGTGAAACTTGCCAGCTGTGGTTTTCAAGAAAATATTATTCTTGCTAGAAAGTTTTTTGTTTTATATAAGCTTTGTGAAGAACAATTGACAAAACAAGTAAGATATTCAATCAATTTAGACCTATCACTCGGATACAGAAATTATGATTTTTTATTGTAATTAGTCATTTGTTTTAAATTATATTTATTTTCTAATTGTATACCACTGTATATAACTATTTTTTACCCCTAATATAAATCCATGGTTAACTTACTTTTATTGCTTAAGAATCAAGAAATGTTTGATGGCAATTTGCTGAGTTACTTTACAACGTGTTTTTGTTTCGATAAAAAATATTTTTATAAGCTACGCAATTGTACCCCTTCAAAAAATAGTTTATTTTATGCTAGACTTTAGTTAGCTTTATTAAATGGAAAGAAAGCAACACGTTGTATTTGATATTCAGTTCTCTGAAAAAAATGCGTTTTCTCAATTAATATAAACAACAGTTGCAAAAAATTTTTTATAATAAGCCAATTATTTAAAGAATAATATAACCATTACAAATTATTTTTTTCGTTACAAATTATTTTTTAAAACTGTTATATTTTTTCTACTAAAGTTACTTCACTTTTATTAATAATGTAATACCCTATGACTTATTTTCTATTTCAGTATGGATAGTTTAAAATTTACAGTGATTATTTAAAGAATAATATTGAAGATCATTTTTTTATATTGCTGACCCAATCTTCATCCTATGCATTTCTCATCTTCCTTGAGACTTGATTTCTAACTCAATGAACTCAAAGACACTAAAACCTTTTAGTAGTTTCTTTTTTAAACAAATAACCCTATATTTTTACACATATGGCCGTTTGTAGAATGCAAAAGTAGTAAAAACAATAGTAAAATTTATTTAAAAAGTTTCAAGATAAACCTTATTATGTCTTATATAAATAAGTTTTAGTTAATAAGATGGATGCAACATAAACAGAATCGTAATACCATACTTTTTGTAATGAAAATTATCTACTGGAAATCTAAGGCTAAGAAGAAGAAGACTTGGAACTACATTGTTCAGCAAGCAAAGGCCCACAGTAAACTGTTGCACCTTAAGTGAAAGATGCCTGACTTCGTCTTAAAAAGTTTTACCTGAATCTGCTTCTGCATTGAATATTTTATTTTATTTTGATACATAATTGTACTAATAAGGCCTGCTCACATGAATATGTTGTGGGGAATGGGACCAATGTCAAAGTGCTTTACTCATAGTTTATGTCAAAATCGTTATGGAAATTCACTGCAACCACAGTTTCTGCTCAATTTCTATTGAAATTAAAGAATGAAATTGGGTGTTTGTTTGCTCATATTTTGGATAGTTTGAAAATTTCTTTGCTGTTTTGTTTATTTTAACTAAAAATAAGTTAATTAAAAACTACATAACATTATTTTTAATCTTAGTTTGCATAATTTTTCTTAAATGTAAGAAGAATTCAATGTTTGTGTTGCTTACCTAAAAACTTTATTATTCTGATTGAAAGTAAATACTTGGTCATATTTTTAGGTACATTATGATTTCGGCTTGAGAAATATTCTTTCAGTGTTAAGAACACTTGGAGCTCAAAAGAGATCCAGACCAGAGGAGAGTGAATCTTCCATTGTGATGAGTGTGCTCAGCTCCATGAATGTTTCAAAATTGGTAATGCTGCCTTTTTGTAATAGTCCTTTTTTATAAATTTGTAATAATATTTTTTTGCACTCTACTTTTCTTTCTAGAATAATAAAAAAGTTATGTTTTCTTTGCAGGAAAACATGTATCTCTAAATGTTTTTTTTTCACTTGGAATCTTTAATGATGTGTGTTATCTTTTTTTTTTTTTAACTGATTTTAATTTATTTCATTATGGCCAAGGGACATATCTGTTGCTAATTTTCTTCTTGCTACTGGCCACAATAACAATTTTGATTGCCTCTCTAAGCATTTACATTGTATAAAAATTGTTTCAAGTCTTTTCTGCCAATTGTGCATTTGTTAAGAAATGGTCGCGAACCATTTGAGTTATTGCCATGCAATAGACTCTGGAGAGCTTGGCACACTATGAATGATTTATAAATACTGTGGTTTCAGTTTTGCTACTGTTATCTCTGTTTCTTGTTCTAATTTTGTTTGTTTTTCTGTCTACAGTTGTCTTTTAATTTGCCGTTAGAAATTTAAAAAAAAAATCAATTTATAACACAAAAACAATTTTAAACATGGGGTAAGATTCATAAGGAATAGTTTTTATAAATATTGTTTATTGAATAAAAGTACAATACTTTGGTACTCAAAATATACATAATGTTATTAAATTAAAAAATATAAAATTTTTTTTATAGCAAAATGAAATTGCTCCTTGGGTCTATAGTAAGCATCTAAAACTGCATTTTGATTTGATCACAAACATTTGATACCTTTCTAAAACAGATCTGTCTGTGACTCAATTGTTATAATTTTTTGTTTAATTTTAGTCGTTATAATTGACCAATTGTTATAATTTGTTTCATTTAATTTGGATTAATTAGTGGTCTTGTAATCACATGAGTGTAAATCGTCAGGTAACATCACCAACTGACCCATTTTATGAAGAAATCCATTACATAACAATTTTTTGCTCAGGTGGATGAAGATGAGCCTCTGTTTGTGAGTCTTATAAATGATCTTTTCCCTGGAATAACTAAAGAAGCTGTGGAATATGATGACTTGCAAACAGCGATTGCGAAGAATGTCAAGGAAGCTAATTTAATAAATCATCCACCTTGGAATCTCAAAGTGATACAGGCATGTTGAAAAATTCTTTATTTATAAATTCTCCTAAAGATTTATAACTTCTGATGTTTTACTTTTACCTTAGAATTTAAATATGCAGTTTCTCATTTGGTAATTATTTGAATCATATGCTGTGAATTATAATTTTGCTTATTTTTATATTCTCTTCATTTATGTCAAGCATATTAGCATACCTGAAGGGAAATTAACTTATTGATTTCCTTTTTCACAATATTCATAAGGCATGTGTATGTATATGGTAATTATGAAACATCTGATATCACATGCATATGTTAATTATATTTAATATTTTGTTATTATAGTAGAATAATAGTTATATACTGTTTTGAAAGCATATTTATGCAGCTCAATAACTAAATAAAATAGAACTATATGTAGTCCCGGATGATTACTTAATTCATATACATCAATAGTCTTTTCTTAACTTGTAACAGAGTATAGACTGTCTTTGTTGTTGCTTTGGGATATGTTCCTTTAATATTATGTATTCATTAGCTAGAGATTCATTTTTTGTACAATATCGCTCACTATTTTGAATCTTTCAAGAGTTAGAATTTAAATTGCTAATTTCAGCTTTATGAAACACAAATGGTAAGACATGGAATGATGGCACTGGGACCCAGTGGAGCTGGTAAAACATGTTGCATAAGAATTCTGATGAAGGCCATGACAGACTGTGGAGCTGTTCACAAAGAGATGAGAATGAATCCTAAAGCAATCACTGCAGCACAAATGTTTGGCCGACTAGATGTAGCCACTAACGACTGGACAGATGGTATCTTTTCAACCCTCTGGAGACGTACTTTAAAAACTAAAAAGGGTTATTATACTTTAAAAATAATTATTTATAAAATATATTGAATTTGTAAATATTTGCTTTAGCTCATTTCTTTACACTTTTTTTATGATTGACTTTATAATTTAAAAACATTTTTTTCAGTTTTAACATTAAAATACTTATTTTTTAAAAGTAATACAATGGAAAGTTCTTTACCTGCAATCGTCAAAACTTTGGCAAGTTCGGAAAACAGATTATTCCAGATAATAGGCCTTTAAGGTAAACAACCATCATAACATATGGTATTAAAATTAAAAAAAATTGACAATAATTAATGTCAATTTCCTACAAGAACGTGTTCTTGTAGCTTAAAAAAATAAATAAATGTGAGCAGGCAATAGTTTGAACTTTCTCTTTCACGACTGAAAACTGAAGACATGTTTTTCTTTTCTTTTCCCCCCATTTGATAAATAAAATTAGCTGGGCAGATAATCAAATTAAAATAAAAGCTTAATATTCCAAAAGTAAATTAATTAAATTTAATAAAAAAAAATAATATAAAAGATTGAAAAAAAGTAAGTAGAATTTGTAATAAATTCATAGTTTATTCCTCTCAACCAAATTTGTTCTTCGTTACTGCTCTCATTTTTCAACTCTTTTAGTGTGTTTATTGAAGAGGAATAAATATTTAGGTATTTGAAAGGCAGCACAAAATTTAAAATAAAATGATGTTTTTGATAAACAAATATTAGGATATGGGATATATCTTGCTACTCATTTTTATTAGCCCTTAAATTTATAGAATGTTTCTTTATAGATTAAACTTATACTTAATCAAGCAATTTTTATACTAACTATTAAATTAAAGTGTTTTTCATGGTCTATGAGAATGCATAGTAAATTCTTAAATAATTTTGACTTCCTGAATTTCTTCTTTGCACTGCATGAAATAACTTTAATTGCTTAGATAATTTTAAAACCTGGTAAAATTATTGCTTAACTTGGATCTCAAATTATCTTAAGCGTGTGTATTAGCTGTACCGTAAATGACAGACCATTTGAAAATAATTAAAAAGAAACAATATAACGATAATTCATTTGCTTTGTTCTGATTAGAAAATCTAGGTTTATTTTCAACACGTATCAAAATTTGTAAAAAAAATTTCAAAAACAGATGGTGTTGCTTATTTTAAAAACTGATCATTTTAACCCTCTGAGCGTTAGTCTTGGCTTTTTCGGAACTCTCAGCTGCAAGCTGACCTGCATAAAAAAGCGGTTTTCCCCATGTTATTCAATGGAGAATAGTTCATAGTAGGAAAAATTCTATACAAATTTACTCAGGGGCCCAATACTGGGAGGGTTAACTTATATATTTGCATATATGTTTGCCATTTTTCCTTAAAATTGCATCAGATTGTTGCAGTGGTGGTTTTTAAAGTATTATATTATAGTATATCTGTGTGTGGTAGCAATGCCATCTGTTGAAAAACATTACAACCAATTTAAAATATAGGTTTGTTTGAATATGATTTTCTTGTTTCCTAAGCAATACCTATTCCTATCTTCTTCTCTTTTCATTAATTAATTTTTCTTGGCTATCTTTGAGACATCATGTATCTACAATATGTTCAAAATATAAGAAATTAAGAAACCATTTGATTATTCAGATGAACATGTTTGGCTCATTTTGGATGGTCCAGTTGATGCTATTTGGATTGAAAACTTGAACTCTGTGTTGGATGACAACAAAACTCTGACCTTGGCCAATGGTGATCGTATTCCCATGTCACCATCTTGTAAAATCATCTTTGAGCCACATAACATTGACAATGCATCACCAGCCACTGTCTCACGAAACGGAATGGTTTATATGAGTTCATCTGGATTAAACTGGGTGCCCATACTTGAAGTGAGTATGCTTAACGATGGCATAATGCTACTCAGTGCTTTTTTTCCTACTATGTTTAAAAATTCTAAATATGGACATAGCTGCTGATTCTCCTGGAATTTTTGGTAAAGTAAAGGATTACGCTAGTTTTCTGGTTGAATCAACAATTCCCTCTAGTTAGTGCATATTTTTGCAAACCTTAAATTGAGCATATTTTTGAAAAATCTGTTTTCTTCTTTTTACTCATTTTAATTTTTTGGCAAAAATGTAAGGTATGTGACGTTTTACTTCTAAATAATAATGATTTTATATCTATATGCTATGCAAAAATATGTTTCAGACACCGAAATAGAATTTAAAGACTGAATGAAACTTTCAATTTGTAAAATCTACTGTTGTATTTTTTTTAATTAGCTGCTATTTGTGTACTTAAAACTTTGCCTAAAAATATTTTCTAAGTACAAATCTTATTTTTTTAAAATTATATTCTAAATTTAAAAGATATAGTCCTCTGTCACACATTCGTTACTATAAAATTAAAAAAACATTTACAATCAAGATTTTGTTATTGTGTTTTAATTTTTCAATGGTGATTTATAGAAAGCTTGGAGTCTCATCACTTACCTATTATAAATAATCATCAGATGTTGAAATATGTCTTCTAGAAAACTTTATTTGCAATTTTTATTATTTTTGAATTGAAGTATTGATTTTAAATTTAAATAATCAATATTTTGCACAATTAAATGGTTAAAAAAAATATGACAGCACTCCAAATTGGTTCACTTTCTGCGACTGAATGCAGCAAACTTCTATAAAATGATCAAATTATGCATAATGCTTCGTATGGATAGATTGTTAATATCCATTAATGTTCTACATTATGTGAGTAAAAACATAAAGTAAAAAAAAATTTTAAAAAATATATATATTTATAATATTACTCTTTGTACCCAATTTATTTATTTATTTTTTGCTTTGTTTTGTTAAATAGATCTTTTAAAATTATATATCCTAAATTCTGTTGCTAGGAAAAATATCTAAGTACTCAAATTTGGAATTCAACTGTCCACTATATGTGTTCAAAAAACTTCAAAATTGTATTTCTCGAAGCTATGTTTTTCAAGTTGGCCAATCTCACAACTTTTACAATTCTTTACAAATTTATACTTTAATGCTGTGCAGTACCACCAGGCAAAATTTAAACAATAAAATTTCCTGATAGAAATTAATAATTGCTTTTCAACTTATATTAATAGATTGTTTCCAAAGAGTTCTTAATTTGTAGGAATTACACGTTATTTATAATTGTTCATGTTTCCTTTTTGTAACCAATTCTGGTTCTTGTGCTACCAATAAACTTTCAGTTCTATTTTATAATATTTATTTCCTTTGCATGCAAATTTTTTTTGTTTTTAAGGGTTGGCTAAGCCGCCGTCCACCAGCAGAAGCAACAATTTTACGAGGACTATTTGGAAAGATATTTCAGCCTTTAAGTGAATATGTTTTGATCTCTTTAACACCTAAAATGGAATTGCTGGAATGCAATTATATAAAACAAGTGAGTTAATACTTTTTTTAAAAACTTTTATCAATTTATATTTTGAAAATATTATCTCATTACTTGCTCAAAACTACACTCACATTTTAAGGTATAATGAAGTGCTTTGAAAAATATCTTAAAGTAAATTATTCGAATGAAATCAAAAGACTATTAAACCTAAACCTTTTTTGTGTATGTATGAAGAATGAACTATTTCATGAAAGTTATTTATTTTTAATTCTTAGTTTGTTCAATTTGGGTTCATGTAGAGTTGAAAAGTAAAAAGTATATCACAAACAATGTTTTTTTTGTAAAAAATGCCTAAATTTTAAGTTGTCTTATCTATTTACTTACAAAGACTATTAGCTATATTCATACGAATACTAAGCCTAAGATTTATTTAAAAAACATTTTATTTAAAAATTTCTTCATTATTCTGATAGGAAATATTCTGGGGCTTTTAATTTTATCGTAATTTTTAGTTTGAGTTATGAATGCTTTGCTTTGAAATATTAGCAAAACAAATGCACTAGTGCATGTACATTATGTTGAGTTAAATTTATATCTTAAGATGTAAGGAGGCCTCCTAACCTAATGTAAATTTTTTTAGGTTAAGAGTCACAACACACATTTTTGAACTGCATCATATCAATAAACTGTACAACCAAAATAATCAAACATTGATTAAAAAACTTACTTACCTTGTATTTTAAACAAAAACTTTACAAACAAATTCATTTAGCTTATTTAAAGTACTGATTTGTAATATTAGATATTTTCTGTGAGTTTTTCAGTAAAGGATTTAAACTGACTATACTATAAATAGATTATTCCATAAGTTTTGGAGCGATGATGTATCTAAATGATTATAATTATTTTTAAATTTATCTTAAACAAAACAAAGGTGTTCTTTAATTATATTCTACCTGATGCCAAATACTCTAAACTACAGCTTTAAAATATTGTGCACTCTCATTAAATAAATTTTAAACTTTTTTTTCAACAGGCAATGGATCTTCTAGATGGCTTATTACCATCTTCAGACAAAGAACCAATCAGTGCTGTCCATTATGAGCGTCTTTTCGTATTTACTCTAATGTGGTCCTTTGGCGCTCTTTTGGAATTAGAAGATCGTGATCGCATGGAACTATTTCTTAAGAAACATAAACCTAAACTGGATTTGCCTCAAATACATCCAGCTCGGAAGGAAACAATATTTGAATACTTAGTAGATTCAGAAGGTATTTTTGATACTTAAATCCTTTGAATGCATTATTACATCACTGAATGAACAAAGCAATCTTCTCTTATAGGTAATTGGTTGCATTGGAGTAACAGAGTGGAAGAGTATATATACCCACCTGACAGCATTCCAGCATTTTCTTCCATATTGGTACCAAATGTAGATAATGTTCGAACCAATTTCTTGATTGATGTTATTCAAAAACAAAAAAAGGTAACTCCCAATGCATTACTTTATTTTTACATGAAATTATTCATAAATTGTATAGTCTACCGTAATAATAATTATCACGTGACATAATTTAATTAACATTGTGACTTATATTTTTGTTTCACGCAAAAACGTCATGACAAATAAAAATGAAACAGAAAAAAAAAATTCAAAATTTACTAGTAATGAATAGTTTGACTCTGAAACGTTTATAAATGATGTAGGACAGTCAGACCTCCATTTTTTTATGATCCAAAAGGCAAAATACATTAAAACTTTTATGTAGTATTTATTTATTTTTGTGAAGATCCATACTGGTTCCAAAAGCTTTTTCAATTGCAAATAAATTTAAACTTTCTCAGCTTTCTTAAAATTTAATGAAATTCATTTGTCTTCTATGCTACCCAAACAAAGAAAAAAAAAAAAAAATTTTTTAACAAACAAAGTATTTATAATATTGTGCGAGTTTTGGGGAAAATTACATTAATGTTTGTGAATGTATTCTTCTGCAAAACTGTATTTTTTACATTGAAATTTTATAAAGAATCACAAAGAAAGCGGTCACACAAATTTTTATGTATTTCCTATACTGTGACAAAAAAGCTTTAGATTAATTGGATACACTTTTCCTCCGCACCCCACCTCTATTTTTTTAAGTTTCATGTAAATTTTAAATGTCTATACTTTCTATTGAAATAAAATTATTTTAATATCGAAATATTTTTACATTCATTAAGATATATTAAAATGCCTTGATAAAACTTGATGAAAGTTGAAATAACTTGATGAAAGTTGACTAAATTATGACCAGTGTCATGAACTCTTTCCCTAAAAAAGAAGCAATAGCATCTTAATTATATTTTGGTACTTCACGTGTGTTCTCCTTGCCATTCTATCAGACATTTATAAGTTTGAAATCCATGATCTAAAACTTTTATATTCACTTTATCTTCCTATAAAATGAATTACTTTGTAGATGTGTATTTTAAGTGATGTTTTAGTAAGTTTGCGTAAATTAACATCAAAATTAATGCATACAATAGAGAATAAAAAAACTATTATGCCATTCATTATTTTTTATCTGAAAGTTTCCCATTAAGAATTCTAATTGATTTATAAAAATATAAATTAATATTCATTGATCATAATTTTCATATTAATTTGAAATATCTTTTTTTTTTCCATATAAAAAGTCTGTCTTATTAATTGGAGAGCAAGGAACGGCAAAAACTGTTATGATCAAGGGATATCTTAATACCAGTGATCCCAGTGATTTCATTTGGAAAAATCTGAGTTTTTCTTCAGCTACGACGCCCCAGATGTTTCAGGTAATATTCATAATTTTTATTTTGAGAATCTGAGGAAATAAATGTTAAGAATATTTTTTTGATCCAAAATGCTAGGACCCTATCATAAATGTATTACTAAGAATAATAATATATTATCCTAACATTTTGATTAATTTTGTATGCTTATGAAACCTGGACCATATCTTGTAGAGATAAGGTTATGTTGGATACCTTTGAGAGAAAGGTCTTGAAAGTATTTCTGGAAGAATTTAAAAAAATATAGTGTGTGGTTTAGAAGAACAAATTTAGAGCTTTATCACTCATATTATGAACCTGACATTATTAACTTTATTAAACGACAAGGAATAAAATGGGCAGGCCATGTCACCAGAATGAATGAAGATCGTAACACAAAGAGAGTTTTCAATGCATGTCCAGTTGGCAAACGAAAAAGGCCGAATTTGAGATGGATAGATGGCCTATAAAAAGACCTTTCGGTATTAAAAACCAAAAACAGGTAAACGCTAGCAGGGAAAAGGTTAGCCTGGGAAAAACTTCTTGAGAAGGCCAAGGCCCACCATTAGCTGAAAATGGTTTTTCTCTATTGTTACATACTTTTTTTTTTAATTATTTTTATTATTTTTTTATTATTTCTCTAAAAAAATAACAAGTTCTATTTTTTTCTTTCTAAATTTTATTCTAGTTATCAGTTTTTTCGCAAGGTTTTTAAGACATTAAAATATGTGATTAATTAAGATGTGTGATAATAAACCTACTATTTCTTAATAAAAATACCCTTTGTAAAAATGAAAACAAAATGTTTATTTGCAATTGCTTGATTAAAATTGTTATATTTTAAGAGGAAAAATCAAATACAATTTCTCTAATTGTCTAGCATTTATTTTTCTGTAGTTATTTTTTTAACTTACCCCATATTATCTGCCTAAATTGCTGCATCAATTCTGCTCAATTTTAGAAACATTTCCACATGTGTAGTAGTATAATTTTTTCCTTGATTATTTACTTAAAAGAACTATTTAAAGTAAGGTAATGAAAGACATTTAAAATTTTTCCTACAGCGAGCTGTTGAAAGTTGTGTGGAGAAAAAAGTAGGCACTACCTTTGGTCCTCCGGCTGGTAAGGAAATGGCAATTTTCATTGATGATATTAATATGCCTGAAATTAATGAATGGGGTGATCAGGTAAAATATTTTAATTTTATTTAATTTTTTTTCTTTGTGTTAAATGTTATTATCTATATTATTCATTTGCTCTTTCAGTATTCTTAGCATGATGATAAAACTTTTTTTTTTGATGACTTTACATGTATTTAAAATTACAAACTTTTACTTGGAAAAGCTAATCAACAAGATTATTTTCATGTAAGAGTTTATTGGTATAATCATGTTAGAGTTCATATGGTTCCTTAATATATTTCTTGAAAAAATTGGAAGAAAAGAAAAATTTGTATTGAAATTCAGAGCAGTATGCTATAACTTTATTAAATTGATATATTTTCATCAAAGGATTCAAAATAAGTTTCTGCGAGAATGTTTTTCCAATTTTAGATATCATGATATTAAGTTAGAAATTACATATTTCAGGTGACCAATGAAATAGTTCGACAACTGATGGAAAACAAAGGTTTTTATAGTTTAGATAAACCAGGAGATTTCACTACTATAACAGATATCCAGTATATAGCTGCTATGATTCAACCTGGAGGAGGACGAAATGACATTCCAAGCAGATTAAAGCGACAGTTTTCCGTTTTTAACTGCACTTTGCCAGCACCAACATCCATTGACAAAATATTTGGTGGAGTTGCATTTATTTACTATTGTCTTTTTAATGTATGATGTCTAGCATCTTATTTGTTTATTTAGTTTATTAATGATTGTTTGTTGAGGGCTCAATTGTCATTTCAAATACTTAAATTTTTTTTCAAATCTTGAAAAATTATGTGATTATACCTGTAAGATGAGGCTTTGTCTGAATTGTTCAATTTATCAACTAATTGTGGTTTAGATGTGTAGTGCGTAAAAAAAATGGACCACCCTGAATAATTTTTGATCTAATTATCGAATTTTCACATACAATTAACTTTTAGGCATACAATTAATTTTTGATCTAATTATCGAATTTTCACTTTCTAGGATGGTTCGAAGGGGTGACCTCAAATATGCTAATTAATAAGTTCAGATGATATTTTTAATTACGAAATCAGACACAAATACATACTTTCTCTGAATACCCTTTCTTCAACAGATTCAGATTTCTAACTCTCAAAATAAAAGGGGGTAGCCGCAATCTGGGGTCCCAATAGTTTCGTCTAAGTTATGATCCCTTAATATTAATTTTACTTTTTTCATATTTCGCTGTATCTTGAAAACTTTTGAGCTAATTGAAAATTTTAAAATTAAATTGAAAAGTGTTTGAGATATAGCAAAATATGCGAAAAGTAAAATTAACATTAAGGGGTCTAAACTTTGGAGCACTTTCACAGAGTTAAAATGTTTTAATAATATTATTTTCCAATTAAAATAACAACTATTTATTGCTTTTTGATAAAAATATAATTGTTTTTTATTTTCAGGTGTAATAGGAAGTGGATACTTTTGTGAAGAGCGATTTTCCAAAGAAATATCTCCTTTTGTTCCTGCCACAAGAATCTTATGGCAAGAAACAAAAGTATAATTGTTTTCTCTGTGACAATGTACTTACTGCTAACATTTTAAACTGAATATTTGTGCTGAGTGCCTTTTTGAAAGTTCTTGTTAAGATATGAGAAGTAGTATTTTCTAATATTTTGCAATATTTTATTATATAGCAAAGCTTTTCATCATATGATTTATCCTGAATCTTAAAATAGATTTTGATAACAGTGTGATAATAATGTTGCTCTTCCATTACAAAATACGTGCTATGAAAAATGAGACATATATATTTGCTGTGAAGTTTTCAGAGAATAGTTTAGTTCCTTAAAAAATGCCATTCTTTCAAGTGAAATAAATGCCTTCGGTATTATGCTGAAGTCTCTTTGTTAAAAAGAAAAAACAGTTTACTGTATTTTATTTTCAGTATTTTTTTATCTTGATCCTCTGTGTCTTAATCTACAGTATACAAAATATAGAGTATAAATACTATTATATACTGTCTACTGTTACTATTATATGCTGCTACTATTGTATACAGTATAAATAATATTTTGTATACTGAATACTAATATACAGTATATAAAAACTTAGTTTAAAGCTTATTATTATTATTCATTTATTTATTTATTTTTGGCCAAAATGAGATGCATCAGTTTGTCATTTTTGTATAATTTTCATACTTTATGGTTTTTTGCCATTACATCTTAAATAAATTTTTTTAAAAAATGCATAGATAGTCGCTGTGCACAGTAATGTTGTGTGTTTGTCGAGTTTCAGGTGATTTTAAACATCTTTTTTTACAGTATCATTACTGAACCTCTTTAGGATATTATTAACAATAACCATTTAAGTATTCTTTTCTTTTCTATTTTTTTCTTCAGTCGTCTCATTTCTGTTTTTTCTAACTATTTTGCATTAAAACTACTGTATATATAACACATCATCAGAGCTTTATTTTTTCTAATACTTCCCCATATCCACTAATTCTTAAAGTTACCACTTTTTGACTATTCAATTTTCCAGCATAAATTTTTTTGTAAAAATAATTTTAAGCTATGAATGCTATTTTTTTGCTATGGATTACCAAAACAAAAGAATGATTTAACTGCTTAGTTATAATATGTAAAAAAATTCCGCAAACTAATAAAAGTAGAGTTAATTTGAATCATCTCAGAAGTAAATTTGGAATTTTCTCAAATTAAAAGTAGATTTGGAATTTTCTAAGATTAAATGTAGATTTGTGGAATCTACTAGTGCACTCGTTGTTGAATCTTCTCGTGCACTCGTTGTGGAATCTTCTCGAAAATTTAAGTATCTGCAAAGTATGTGTAATTTTAATGAATAACCCTCATTCCACCTGCATTGTGCACAATTTTTTAACTAACTTTCCCACCCACTTCTTTAAATACGTAATTTTGCATGTCAGGAGCTAATTGAACATTTTGATGCAATCTTCATTTCTTAAAAATATTATTTTTATATTTTAAAGTCTTAAAATATGAAAATTGTAATAAAATGAGGTAAAAGCGGATTTTTTTTAGTTTGAGTAAAAATGCATTTTTTCTTTCAAATTATATTCTAAAAAATATATGCATTTTAGCTAAGCAACATCGAATTGTAGCCATGATGTTCGTCTTCGTTGTCATAAAGGACTATTAAATGTTTATAATTGTATATTTTTCAGATAAAAATGTTGCCAACTCCTGCTAAGTTCCATTATGTATTCAATTTAAGAGATCTTTCTCGCATTTGGGAAGGAATGTTAAAAATTGAAAAGGCAGAATGTAGTACAAAGCGTGATTTGCTTGCACTCTGGAAACATGAGTGCACTAGAGTTATTGCAGACAGGTAAGTCCCTGTTATATTTATCTAGCATATATACTGTGATTTTGTCTTGTACTATATTAATTGTTTATAATAGAAGCTCCCTTCATAATAGAATAGAATTGAAGGTGTTATGCTATGTGCATTCATAGGAACGTGACTTTTAAAAAGTAATGCATACAAGTGCAAATACTTCAGGCAAAAGTAACGAATAAAAAATTTTAATTTTAAAAAGTAAGGAGTAAGAACTTTTGATTTTAAAAAGTAATGAGTAAAATGTACAAGTAAGAAAGCAAAAAAAGTAGCGATTTTAAAGTACATTTCAAGGAAATATAAAATTCAATATTACCTTAAATTTCATTAAAATATTTTATTTGAATTTATTACTCATAAAAATATTTTTTTTTACTTTAATTCTATAATTGTTGCATTATTTTTTTAATGCTTGAATTTTTTTTTAAATGAACTGTGGTATCATAATAACATTACATTAAAATATTACTTTTTCTCAATGTTTGGATTTTGATTTTAAAAAAAAGTCTAATTTATTTTATATTTTATTTTTGAATGATTTTAATTCTAACTTTTAAAAGTATTTAAATTTTTCCAAATATATTTCTAAGTTCATTGATAAAAAAATTTACATTATTATGGAAATCTGATGTTCATATAAGAAAGTATTATAGATGCTGTCAACGCATCTAAATACTCGTGGCCATTCATTGGTCAACCTGCTGTGCAAATAGTCCTTCACTAAGAGAGTTGTGCATCACTAAGCTAAATTCTAAATTATTTTTTTATTGTTCCATTCAAATATGATTTCATGTTGTCACCATATTTTTTTATCTTATTTAAGTTTGAAATATTGTTTAAAGAAAAATATCGTTTCCAAATTCAATAAAGAAAAATAACTCTTTTTATAATTAAAAAAGTATAAGACGATGTTTTCACATTAACCATTTGCTTATTGTTGGTACAACAGATGAACCAAAACTACAGGCTTCACCATGCTAATCGCAAAAACAAAGGGTTAAATACCTATCGAGCATGTTTTGCTTTTCATAATTTTTTGTTTACTACATTATAAACCAAAGCTTTAGAATTCTCTTTCATGTTCAATAAAGAAAACTCTCAGTTTAAGGACTTTTCGTTTTTCAGATTCACAAATGAAGAGGATAAAAATTGGTTTCTGAATAAAATGAGCCAAGTAGTAAAAACAGAATTAGGGGAAGAATTTTTAGAAATTTTGCCTGAAGAGCCATACTTTGTTAATTTCTTAAGAGATCCTCCAGAACCTGAAACCGACGAAGAAGAAGTTAGCTTGGAAATGCCCATTGTCTATGAGGAAGTATGTTAATTTTAAATATTTTAAGTTCGTATAAGTTTTTTAAAAAAAGCAAGTTATATTGGTTTTAAAAGAGTTAGATGCATTTTTAAACAAAATTTTCTTTGATTTTTAGGTTCCTTCATTCGAGCAATTAGCTGAACGCCTTAATTATTTTATGCATCAGTATAATGAAAACAGCAAAAGTATGAAAATGGATCTCGTATTCTTCAAAGATGCTATGGTTCATTTAATCAAAGTAAATATAATTTTTTTAACCTGATAAAATCACCTTGATAAAATTTTCACTATTTAACTTTTTAGTTTCATTTATAATTTTTCCAATTTATTTAAAGATTTGCATACTTGTAGTTTTTATTTCTTTTTTATAAAATTCTTTATAACAGTTTCTGGCCATTGTAATAAAGTGCATACAGGGATGATATTAATGTCAAACTTGAGCAAGAAACATTGTTTTTTGTACCTTTCACATAGATTGTCAGTTCTTGTAACAGATTTTACTAGTCTTATTAATTGTATCACAAAATGTTAGTTTTTAAAAAGCGATAAGCAGAACCCAGATAAATTTATAACTAGATAACTTTCATGATTAAAAAATTTTAAATCATCCTTTTTTTTATCATTACTTTTTGTAAAAAATAAAATTTGTTGAGGCCTGCACAGCTGAATAAGTTATTTACTTTTTTAACTTAAAAGTAATCTGCTAGCAGTAATAGAAGTTAGGATTCAGGCTTATACTTCACCATAATCCTAAATTTTATTGAATTCCTCAGTATAAAAAAAATAAAAGTTTGTTTTATATAACTGTATAAATGAACTGTATTTCATATACTTTATTTTTTCTCTTCATGACAATTTATAGGACATGTCAAACACGCTGTCCTTGAACCAAATGTGCCCACCAAAACTCACAAGTTGATGGTGGTAATAAATTTAGAACTATTATTATCAACCAATTACACGTTGCAGCTATTAAAAATTTGGTTATTAATTTATATTTCTCAAGTTTATTAGTAACTACTTGAATTTCAGTTGTTAATAACCATTATAAACAAAACTTTTTATGAACTATTACTTTTCCCCATCGTATTCTCTTATATTCTCTCCTCAAAGTGGTTAACAAGGCTTACAAAATACTAAAACACAAATAGTGTTACTATTAATAACAATAAACTGAAACGTTTATTGAAGCATAGTAAGGATGCTATAAAGTATTGAGTATCTTCGATATTGTGTTTTAACAGTATCAAATAGTTGTGGTACTTTTGATACTCTTTCAATGCTTAATATTGATACTTTCTTAAAATACTATGTCAATAACTATGAGTGATATCTTATCAACAGATTGCTCGTATCCTGAGTACTCCCCAAGGAAGTGCCCTGCTTGTTGGAGTTGGTGGATCTGGAAAACAATCATTGACTCGCCTAGCAGCTTCCATTTATAAACATGAAATATTTCAAATAACTCTAACCAGGTATATGGGCTGAGTGGTACAGCCAGAAAAAATTTCTTTGTTTGGTTTTAAAATTTTAATGTTCATACACTTTCAAATTATGAAAAATCGAAATTATTTTTACATATTTTATGAAAAAGAATTTATGTTTATCAGCCTCACAATTTTCTTTTATTTTTCTTACTAAATTTCTTGAACATGCAGACACTTGATACATTAAGATTGAAAAAATTAGCATTTAAAACTTTTTAAATTTTTTTTTAATACTGCTAGATGATGAGAAATTGCATTTTCTTGCATTCTGTTTATTTTTGCCTTATTATTACTTAATTTCTTTTTTGACTACCATGATATGGCTTCTTATAAATCAAATCTTTTTAATGATTGATCTGCCGTTCGTTTATTTCTTGAGTGATTTTTGGAATGGGTTTAAACCCCCAAAATTCCTCAACTCCCAACTCTACCTTTGTTTATTTTAAAATACAGATTTTTAAAGTCTCATCAGTGTATCATTTTTCCTATCTTGTCTGTTTATAGCGCTTTCTACTGGGCAGCAGAAACCAACTGAACCTGGTGGTGAACTATATGACATTTTTTTTAACTAAGACGAATCATTATTCAAATATTCTATCAATTTATTTTAAATGTTTCAACATTGTCATTTTTTAAAATTTTTATTTGGTTTTGTTCATATTATAGCTACTATACAGTATTGATATGTTTTTGTAGCATTAATATTTCTTATTTTGTCTGTTTATGGTGCTTTCTGTTTGGCAATTTGTTTCAGAAACAAATCGGAAGTGAAGTATAAGTTTTTTTTTTAATAAGACGAACCATTATTCAAGTATTCCATCAATTTTTTTAAATTTTTACAATGTTATTATTGTTAACTTTTTCATGTTGGGGAAAAAAATTTGTCAAATTGATGATTGGTTAATTGTTGAACAGAATATTTGTTAACAAATTAAAAAAAATTGCATTGAAATTTTCCAGAGAAAAAATAAAAGAGTGCTATGTTAAATGTCTATTTGTTTCTTGCTATTTCTACATTAATTTGTTGTTTTACTAAATTATTGTTTTATTCTCTTTAATCATGATTAATAATATAAAAATGTATTACAGTTTTTTTTACTGTCAATGTACACATATAGTAAAAAGAACTTTAAGTAAGTATGTAAATAATTTAAATGTTTTCTTTTTGTGCAAAATAGTTTCAGATACTTTTTTCTTTACTTTTTCATGATTTGAGTTGATAGTTATTATCAAACTTCTTGTTCTTTTCCCACTCTCATCAAGCCTTCAATTATTAGCAAGCATTAAATTTTAAAAAAATAAAAGGCTATATAATGTCGATTCATCTCAACAAATGAACAAGGAAACTTATTTTTAATACACATAGCTTTTTTGGTGAAAATTCCAAAAGGAACCATTTTTTTCAGCCATTAGTTTAAAAAGACCCCATAGTGAATAAAAATCTGCCTCATTTGATAAATTAAAAATAAATGAGCAAATCTTTTGTAAGATATTTTGTGTCTGTCTCAAAATTTAATTTTTTTTTATTTCAATAAAAAATGCTAATAATAAAGAAATGTATTTCTCTAAATTCTTAATGGTTGCATGCTTTATTTTTCTGTAATTGACTGCGAAAAAATATTTTTTTGCTTGCTTCCCCTCATAGGTCATACAATGAAGGCAATTTAGTCGATGACTTGAAGTTCTTATACAAGAAAGCTGGAGAAGAAGGAAAAGGAGTCACATTTATATTCACAGATAATGAGATTAAAGAAGAATCATTTTTAGAATACCTCAACTCTATCCTAGGTTCAGGAGAGGTAATGTTTTTATTTTATTATTTTTTATTAAATTTTACAATTTGGTAAAATTTTTGTTTTGTTTGTTTAACTAATGTGTGAAATGCCATTAGAAAATAAACAAATGTCTCTAATATAAAAAGAAGCACATTATTAAATGTGATTCATAGAATATAAGAGTCTTGTAGTTTAATAAATAAGTAAGCATAATCTTTGCTTATTTGTTTCTGCAAATGGATGACTAATTTATTTTAAGTTAAATTAGTTTCTGTAACAGAAGTTATTTTCACTTCCTATAAGAATCATAGAACGAAACTGAAGTTAGTGTCAACTACTAAATAAGTCTGCTAACTAACATTAAAAAAACTAACTCTGAAGGTTTTTTGAGGTATGAAACGCAAGCAAATTTAATCTTATTTATTTTACTGTGGTAAAACATAACTAAAATATAACAGTTACAATCAAATGATACAATTCATGCTCTGAAATGAAACAAATGATACAATTCATGCTCTCCTTAAATATCTGTGAAGGACCACCCAGGCAGCTGCACTTCCTTAGGAAATACCATGCAGACTGACTACCGTCCTATAGTATCCAAAAAGTTATTAGTTGGGTCAGGAAGATCTCTCTTTCGAATGAGTGTAATGTTATTGTTACCCTGTCAACATTCTAGATAGGCATGGAAGTGAAGAAACATAATAAATTTAAATTTACCTATGTTGTTATGGTCAAATGTTTCTTTTAGGTTGCTAGTTTATTTCCTAAAGATGAAATGCGGGAGATTTTGGACAATTTATTACCTGTTATGAAGAAGGAATTTCCAAAAAGAGAACCAACTCAAGAAAATCTGTATGATTATTTTCTGACCAGGGCTAGATCAAATCTTCATGTCATTCTATGTTTTTCTCCTGTAAGTAGAAGCATTATTTACGGTCTGAACCGAAAGATTTATCAATCATGTACAATTTTTATTCAAAATAAAAAAAATCTTTTCTATGTGTTTTGAACAATTTATCAAATAAAATCCATTAGAACCCCACAAAATCAAAAAATAATGTTATAGGAATCAAATTTTCCCCTTTTTTAAGCAATGCTTATTACCTGTTTAAACCATTTGTGCTATATTTTTATGATTAGAACCCCTATCCTACTTTTTAATATAGAGATGAGTTAGTTTCATTCAAAAAGTCTTCCAAACAAATGAGTTCATCCTAATTCTTGATCCTGGAAATCATTGAATCTTCTGAATCAAATTTATTCAAAATTACAAATTTGAAAAGTTGAACACTCTTAGCAACAAATCTAATATTGATTATGTGTTTAACGTCAGTGATAAACTAAAATACATAGCCTTAAACTGTTATATTGTACTTTTATCATCGAAAGTAAACTCACAGTGTGATTAACTTTTGTCACTATTAATAATTTTCAAGAAAATTTATTTAAAAATTTTTTTTTGTTGTTGCAGGCAGGTGGAAAATTCCAAAAACGTTCTCTAAAATTTCCTGCCTTGATATCTGGTTGTACAATGGATTGGTTGACTTCATGGCCTACTGATGCACTGATTGATGTATCCACCCATTTTCTACAACCTTTTGATATTGTATGCGCTCCTGATATTAAATCTCAACTCATGGAAGCCATGGGTGTCATCCACGATGCTGTTTCTCATCAGTGCAATGAATATTTTCAGAGGTATAATCACGGATTTTTTATTTAATGCATACAAAGTTATGTGTTTTATTAAGGAGAATGTTAAATAAAATACGGTCTGTGCTCTAAAAATTTACTACTTAACTTGTCAGTGAATATGCAATCTTATAAATTTGCCTTGAACTGACCTTGACTTCACTGCTATATATATATATACAGTGAAACCTCCTGTTATGGACACTCCTGCAAAACGGACGCCTCTCAATACAGACATATTTTTAATTCCCCGGGAATCTTCTATGACTAAACCATTATGTACATTCTCCGCAAAGCGGACACTCTCGTAACCGGACGCGGACAGTCATTTCGATCCTGAAACATTGTTTTTTATCTCTACAAACGGGACACTACTTTTTCTAAATAAATTGCAAGCTAAAAAAATGCAACTTTTCTCCATTTTTTAAGCATGTAAATAAAACTTTTTGCCTTATCCATAACTAAAAATATTGTTAAGCTATTTCACCACCAAGAAATCAATCTTTCTCCTGTCACCTTGCCTTATCTTTGTAAAGAAAGGAGAGAAAATGGTACTGCACTCCTGAAATAATTCTCACATCAGCATCTCTTCATCTGGACCACACAGGTTATGAGACCCCTCAAGTTGAAATGACTTCTCTCAATGCTTCTTCCCCATTGAAAATTTCTTTAATTTTCTTATCAATTTGAAGACTGTATTTAACACAACTGGGGTAAAAAAAAANCTGTAAACTGTAAACATATATAAATAAAACAAAATCAGTGGTCAGAAAAACTAAATTTTTTTTTGTAGTTAACTAGTCATTTTTTTCTTCCGAATAGAGTGACTACTAGCAATGTTTGAAATGCAGTCACTATTTCAGGCAATAAACTTTGCTAATCTCAGTGGCGCGACAGCCCATAGAGGGCCAAGGACTACCTCAGCTTTCTTGACTTTGGGCTCTGGGGTGCAGGAGCAGATGTTCCGGTCAGGTTGTCAGCGGAGCCCCCAGTGTTTAGTTCCCAAGCATGCTTGGTACTCATTTATCGACCCACTGAAGGGATGAAAGGCTGAGTCAGCCTTGCCCGGCCCGAGGATCGACTACCGCTCAGCCACTGGGCGTCCTATTATATTGTACTTTTATCATCGAAAGTAAACTCACAGTGTGATTAACTTTTGTCATTATTATTAATTTTCAATAAATTTTATTTAAAAAAAAAATTTGTTGTTGTTGCAGGCAGGTGGAAAATTCCAAAAACGTTCTTTAAAATTTCCTGCCTTGATATCTGGTTGTACAATGGATTGGTTAACTTCATGGCCTACTGATGCACTGATTGATGTATCCACCCATTTTCTACAACCTTTTGATATTGTATGTGCTCCTGATATTAAATCTCAACTCATGGAATCCATGGGTGTCATCCATGATGCTGTTTCTCATCAGTGCAATGAATATTTTCAAAGGTATAATCACAGATTTTTTATTTAAAGCATACGAGTTTAATTGTTTTACTAAGGAAAATGTTAAATAAAATACTGACTGTGCTCTAAAAAAACCTATTAAAAGTAATTAAAGTAACTGGCTTGCTAGTGAGTATGCAATTCTATAAATTTGCCTTGACTTTTGACCTGCAAAGAACTGACCCTGACTTTACTGCTATATATATTATCTAATGGCAACTTTACTATACCTAGACACATTTATAACAGTAGCTGTAACACTTCAGCACTTAAAAAGGTTGGCACAGACTTTAATGGGTATTCTGTAACGAAAAAAAATTTGTTTCAATTTCAAATTTCTGTTCTATTACCCTAAACTTTATTAGTATTTTCAATTTGATTTGGATCATTTCTGTCAATCGTATTCTACTCTTACAATATTGTCATAAATTTTGTAGGTATCGAAGACAAACTTTTGTCACTCCTAAGTCTTATCTGGCCTTCATTAATGGATACAAAGCCATTTATTCTGAGAAGAAATCTGACATCAGTGGACTTGCATCTCGAATCAACAACGGTTTAACAAAACTGAAAGAGGCCACTCTGAGTGTGCATGAGCTTAAGATTGATCTGGCTGAGAAAGAAAAAGATCTCATAGTTGCCACAGCTGAAGTCGATAAGGTATACACAGTGCTCAAAATAAAAAGACGGTACACCCAAATAACTTTGATTAAGCCGTGGCAGGTTAGAGAATAGAACTCTTGTCTATCGATGAGAGAATCGGGTTCAAATCCCAACAATGGCTGGTTAATATGAATTCTGTATCTGGCTCGCACTGACCATAGAGCTGATGTAAACCATCCTCAGCGGTGGTCGAATCAAGGGTTAGAGTCTCCGCCCTTAGGCTAACGGTGGGATGTTTTCTTGGTTTTCCTCTCCATTAGTTACATCAAAAAGCCTTCAAGTATTGGGAGAAATTTGCTTTTGCAATTTCCCCCAATACTTGATCTAGGAATTCCCTTGTATTCTGGATTTAGTTGAAAACTGCAAAGCTGCAGAATTGAATATTGGTAGTCGTAAACCCTAAATTGGATCAGCTGCTCAATGACGGTTATAAAATAAAAACACTTTGACCTAATGACGAAATTTTCTCATCTACAATAATTTGCCCGATTAATGATTTCAGAGACTATCTTTATATGATAATTAATTTAAACAGATGATGCATTAAGTTGTAAAATAAGCTATTTTTTTATGATTCCAAAATGAGATACTTATTATTAAGATGTAAAATGAAATACTTAACCTCTTCATTCTCTCGGTCCACATCTTCGCTTCTTAACATCTAAAAACACACTATCAGAAAACTTATAGTTTTACCCTCAGTGAAACATTTGTGAATGTGGAAGCTTTCTGGGGATTCTAATAGATGTTTCTGGAGATTCCAGTAGTAAGTCATTTTGGTAGAATTCCAAATCTCAATTCATATTCTCTTTATTTCATTATGATTTATGGTTGTACTAATATAGAAGTTTAGAGCTTTAAATTACTTTTTGCTACATTCCTTTATACTTTAGTAATGAAGAGGATTATAAACATATTTTTTTAGCTGGTTTCTACTTTCAAAATATGGTATTTAAAAAAATGTGGTCTGAATTGTTCAGTCAAAAGAGTGATTGAAAGATTGAGCTATTTGATGTTAATTTTCCAAATGATATTCATTTTAGTTTACAATTGTAAGTGCTCATGCCCTTCTTTTCATGTGTGGAGCAAAATAGGCGATCCCCCTTGGTGTTCATACTACATTTGTTTCAGTTGCAGAACAAGCTTTGATATTGTTTCTTCACATTTCACATCACGTTTTTTTTTAAATAATTAAATGCCAAAAAATTAATTAAATTAAAAAATTTTCTTAATATTGTAGTTGCCTTGTTTCGATTTTAAATTTAATATCAGTATTCACCAATTTGTTCACTATTTATAAAATGATCAAAAGAAATACATTTTAAATTTCTTTCTCCATAAATGAAATTATTACAACTAGTGTTATTTTGTAGGTGGTTATAGATGTGAAGAAAAAAACAGAAGTTGCAGAAAAAGTTAAAGATTCTGTTCAGATTGTAAAAGACAAAGCACAAAAAATTGTTGATAAAATTAATGTTGAAAAAGCTGCAACCGAAGAAAAACTTGAAGATGCTCGCCCTGCTATGGAAGCTGCTGAACAAGCTTTGCAGGTTAACTCTTACTATTTTAATAAAATATATGTTCAAAAATTATTTTTGTTTGAATTTCATATTGAATTAGATTACCAAATGTATTGCTTGTTATAAAAATATGAATTTACTGGTACAAATGTAAATGCAGTAATTCTCAAATTATATACTAATTTGGAAGACATGTACATTCTCTTACATTGAAATTGCATAGATAGTCTTGATGGAAATAATAGCTTCTTAAAGGAATATGTAATTAATTAATAGATCTTCATGCTTATTTCATAAATTTTATATCAGAATAGTTGCTGTTATAATAAGTATGTTATAATTACTCCTAAAATTAATATACAAGAAGGAAACCAATTTTGTTTGAAATTATGTATTAAATTAGATCACTAAATATTTTACTTGATTTACTTAATTTAAATTTACTTGAAGTCAAAATTGTAAGTTATGTAGTTCTCAAATTACGTGCTAATTTGAAATGCATGTGTTTTCTTTTACATTAAAATTACCTACTGATAGATTTGGTAATTTTTGAAAGGTATTTGGGTATTTTAAATCATCCTGCTTGTTGCCTAAATTTAGATTGTCAGAGGAATACAAAAGTTTAAACTTTCTAGAAAATGGGCCCAATTTTTTAGGAGTCAAGCTGCTAGGCCAGGGGTGGCGAACCTTTATACAGCAACGTGCCAATTTTTCTAAAAAAATTGTTTAATGAGGTCATAGACGTGCCTTCAAATAATTTTGACTTCGTGATTATTGAGAAAATAATAATACTAAATACTATCAACTCAAAACTTTTTATTTACATTGAAAAAAAAACATTTTGCCGTGTCTTAAAACNGTCATAGACGTGCCGTCAAATAATTCTGACTTCGTGATTATTGAGAAAATAATAATACTAAATACTATCAACTCAAAACTCTTTATTTACATTGAAAAAAAGAAACATTTTGCCATGTCTTAAAACAACTTAAAGTAACATCAGTGTGACTTCTGTTGTTGCAGATTAGATGACAAATAACTTATATTAAGTCGTAAGATGTTAGTTTAAGCAGGACTGTTATATATTTTTTTTTTGCTAGTTATTTATTTTTAGCTTGTTTTTTATAGTTATTAATTGTTTTTTTAGCATTAATTGTTAATTTTTTTATTAATAATTGCTTACTATTTTGTTTGTTTTTGTGAATTTTAATTTAATTGTTACATATGCTTCATAGTGTAATAACATTTGAGTAATAACAATTCATAGTGTAATAACAATTGTGATCGGTGGCGTGCCCAAAATATTGTGTCTCGTGCCATAAATGGCACGTGTGCCATTGGTTCGCCATCCCTGTGCTACGCAATAGACTAGAGCATAATTTTGTTTTGCTTGCATCAATTTACGTAAAGATAATTCTTAACTGCTATATTTTTGCCCAAAATCAAAAATGTAAAATCCCTTTAAACTATTGTTATATAAATTCAATAAAAATGAAAAAAAGAAAGCATTTCTCTTTTTTTTTAAGCTTCACTTCATTTCACTAAAACTAATAAATACTATATTGCTTAGAAGCAAATTTTAAATTAATATAAACAGATTGGAGTGATGTCATAATAAACAACATTTCAAATCTGTTCAGGAGAGTGAAGGAATCTTTATTTGTTTAATAATATATAAAAAAAAACAGGATTTCCTTAGGTATTGGAAATCTAATGGTTGTATATTCTAGAAACTTGTGAAGTACTCATAGATTCCTGTATCTTTTTTTAGACCATCAAAGCGGCAGATATAGCAACAGTTCGAAAATTAGCAAAACCACCTCATCTCATTATGAGGATTATGGACTGTGTCCTGATCCTTTTCCAAGAACCAATGAACAAAGTCACTCCTGATCCTGACAAACCATGCCCCAAGCCTTCATGGAATTTTTCTCTTAAAGTATGTCTCATTAATTTTTTGGTGTAAATATCTTTATGCATTGATATTTTCTTCTCTTCATATGGAGTTATGATTTGAAAATAAATCATAACTGCATTTTTTATAAATGAAACTTAATTTTTTTTAATGCACTAATTTAAAAAATATGGTCAGGTTAAACATATTTATTTTTTACTGTTAAGACATACAATCGCATACATCTAGCATTGCCTTAACACTTTTTAATGTTCAACGACGTTCTAATGTTGTTGTTTTTTTATGTACTCACCTTTTATAGATTGGGAACAATTTCTAGGTACAGGTAAATTTATTTTTTATATTATAATTGAATTCAAAACTATCTATCTTATACTTTCGTAAAATTTACGCACAAGAAGAAAGAAAAGTAACTATTTTAGGAAATCTCTGTTACAATAAAAAATAGATTTGTATCTATAAAAGAGCACTATGACTGGTTAACATTCTTACTACTGTATTTACTTCATTCATTTATTATTAAAAAGTATAATTATACTATGCATAACTAGATTTGTAGCAGTCGATTCAAGAAGAATTTGTTGAAGTATGATCAATTCTTGAATATGAAAGTAAAAAGTGGCTGAAATTAATGTTTAATAAAATTAAAACACCAAGAAAAGTACACTTTTATTCAGTACTTATTAAAAGATGCATAAATTTATAAATGTCATTTAAATTTTTTTTATTATTTCCAAATATTGTTATATTAAGAGTATATTTATTTTATAGCTAAATTTAGTGAAAATTTAATATATCCTGCATTTTGTTTTGGAATCTTAAATAAACATTTAAAAACTAAATTTTTTATTAAAGTTTTTAATATAAGAAAATAGTGTTATTCTTTCTGTTATTCTTAGATACCTTCATTATATTGCATTTTTATTTAACTTCATTTAGTTGAAAAGAATCTTAAATTTAAAACCAGTACTTAAACACATTCTAATTTTTTGTCAAAAGAAATATTGCATGCTTTTAAACTTTACAAACTTTATAATTGAATCAATAAGCTTGAAAAAAGATAATCATCAGTGGATTTCTTATATTATTTATCTGGTGTCATACTCATTAATTTTATTAACAATAGCTTCTTTTCTTTGTAATAAGAAATCTATGATCAATATCAGTTTGTGCTGATCACGTTAGTGGAATATGCAGTGTTAAAAAGATCATACTTAGTCAATGATTTAGTATGATTCCGAGGGAGATTTGTTATGCGGTTTTGTTTGAGGAAATAGAATGTTTCTTTTTAAAATTCATTATCATACCAATGCCTGCATTTTAGGCCAGATTGGGTCATTCATAGTTGTTTTATGTATTACAGATCTCAGGACTTGATGATCTTTTATCTTTGACTCCCTAATTTTGCAGACTTAGCGTACAAAATTGTTTTTCTTTTTACCTAAAGTGCTTGTTAAAACAATACTTAATAGGGAAAAATAGCATTCAAAACAATATGTGGGTTTAGGATAACCTTTTTTTATTTAATAACATAATTATTTAGACCTTATGTTTTCACTCGAAAATAAAACCATTTGAGGGGACTAACATTTCAAAATAGTAATGTTTTCAAACAAGAAAAGTGTAACTGATAAATTTATTTTACTTTTTGAAAAGAAATTCGCACAGGAATTGTGAATGCATCTTTTTAACTTAATGAATGCATAATTAAATTGTTAAGCTAATGCTAATCAGATAAAGAATTTGATTTCATTGATTATGATTTTTATCATTTTCAGGTAATGAGTGGAAATTTTTTACTCCAACTTCAACAATATCCTAAAGATTGCATTAATGACGAAATTGTTGAACTTATGGAACCTTACACTAATATGGAAGACTACACTTTTGAGACTGCTCAAAAAGTTTGTGGTCAAGTGGCTGGCCTTCTTTCTTGGACACTCGCTATGGCCAGTTTTTATGCTGTTAACAAAGAAGTTTTGCCTCTAAAGGTAAATTCTCTATATGACAATAAATATTCTTGAACTGTGGTTGCTCTAGGGATAAAGCAAGTGTTCTTCTCCCAATGAGGGGATTTTTGAGTTGGAATCCCAGTGATGGCACCCGGCTCACATGGACGGCAGTGCTGACTTGGAACATCTTCAGTGGTAGACAGATCAAGGATTAAAGTTTTCTAGGGTTAGATTCCCCTTGCCGTTAAGCTTACAGTAATGGTTTTCTTCTGCACATTATGCAAATGTGGGTTTGTTCCATCAAAAAGTCCCCCACAAGGGCAAAATTTGCCCAATACTTGATCCAGGAGTACTTGATCTTGGATGGGTTCAAAATCATATTCAAAATATGGAGTTGAACATTGGAAGTCGTAAACTTAAAATTGGGTCAACTGTTCAACGCCGGTTATAAAATAGAATAAATACAAGACAAAACAGGCATTAATTAAGGTTATGACTGGGGGATTTTGAAAATGTTTATTTTTTTAAAAAAAACATTCTAAAAATTTAGAATTTTTTATTTTTTTGCCTTGCAGATGGATATAATAATACAGTCAGACCTCGATATAAAGCCATCCGCATATAAGGTCACCCCGCATATAAGGTTACTTTTTCAAAGTCCCGCCTCACTGAATAGGAATTCTTTGTTACAGATTATTGGATATATGTTCAAGTTTTAAAAATCGTTATCGCTTATAAGGTCATTTTTATCTGAGGCGAGGGAAGCTCTTTTCTAACAAAAGCCTATTTAACTTCCTTATAATGCAATTACCCCTCTCGAGTTCTAGGAAAATGTTACAGCCAACAAACAAGCTACAATTTCTGAAATTATTTCACAAGTTGTGGACAGTGAGGACAATGACAGTGATCCTGAGAATGTAAATGTAACCCAAGTGGAAGCCTTCAATGCAATAAATGTCATATGAAATTTTTTTACAAACCCTGAGGGAGCTGATGAACATTTTGAGAAGTTACAAAATCTAGAAAACATTGTTTGAAAAATGCAACCAAAAACGAGACAGACCTGCATAAATGATTATTTTAAATAACGTAAGTACACTTTGTACATGTACGTAAGTACACTTTGTACATGTATGTACACTTTGAGGAAATTTGTAAGCAGCTTTATTTTAAATTAAAACTTTTTTTTTTTGGAAATCTTTCTTTAATTCTTTTAAAATTTATTGACTTAAATATTTTGTTGTCATTCCCTGGGAAGGATAGCTACGAAGTCTTTTTCTTTTTATACCGCCAGATGGCGTTCTTTTTAAATTTGTCTGCTTTTTGTTAATAAACTTTTACTTTCTGTCTGAATCTCGATCCACGGACTACAGTTGGCAGCATGGCTGTGGTTTTGAAAATTATGACGCAGTAAAAAGTTTCACTTAGTTTCGCCGTGATTTACATCGTTTAGATTCCAAAATCAAAAATGAATCGGGATCTGCCGAGTATCCCACTGCTGAACAGTGATAACTTCTATCAGTGGAGTATTAAAGTCAAGGCTTTGCTGACACTTAAGAAAATTGCTAATNGAAGGATAGCTACGAAGTCTTTTTCTTTTTATACCGCCAGATGGCGTTCTTTTTAAATTTGTCTGTGTTTGTCTGCTTTTTGTTAATAAACTTTTACTTTCTGTCTGAATCTCGATCCACGGACTACATATTTAATTTATAGCCGATCGTTTTCGTTTATATTACCTTTTTTAAAACGTCATAATGTGTACTATTTAAGTGCTTAGTTACGAACTGCTAATGAATCGGTTAAAAGGTCACCCCGCTTATAAGGTCACTTTAATGATGTCCCTTAGGGTGTCCTTATATCGAGTTCTGACTGTACTAATTTATGCGATAACTTAGAGCATGTAGCGTTTTTAGAAACTGCTTGAAGGTGGATATTTTTGATTTTTGTTAAAGTCCTTATAGGTGCTTTTTGCATTGGGTGTTTGTAAAAAGTACTTTACTCTTTTCAAAAATGAGATTTTTTTGTCACGTTGGTTGTGATTATGAATGTTGGCTGTGTAAAAGATGCAGGACATGACTTTGATATGATATTACTGTAAATTATTAAGAAAGTTTTAACTTTATTGATTTATAAAAACACAAAATGTTGAGACGTTCAGTATTTTTGCCACATTAGCTACCTTTAAAAATTTTAATCCTAATTTATTATATCCTTTCTTTTCTACACAAATAAAACATTCCTCAAAGCTTAGTTTAATCTCTATTAGTGAAACAATAATTTATTATTACCTTAGTTACTTTATACATAACTTTATATCATATTATCATTTATCCTTAGTTTTTATTATCGCTTGTAATTTTCCTTCGTAAAAAACCAAATGCTATAAATTTTATACTAGTTTTTATTTTATTTGACCTTATAATTTTATTGTTTTGTCTTTTCTTTACTGTTTCTTGTTATGATTTTCAACATTTTGATTCATAATTAATTTTTTCTCAATGCAGGCCAATTTAGCTTTGCTAGAAGGAGAACATAAAGTAGCTTCTGAAGAGCTAAAAACGGCACAGGCAGAGTTTGATGCAAAACAAAAAGAAGTAGATGAAGTAAATGCTATTTATAATGCAGCGATGAGTAAGAAACAGGTAATATATTTATTTTGATATTTTTTTTTGTATTTTTTACTTATTGTTTTAATGTCTTTGTAAAGTTTTGATATATATATTTTTTAACCAAAATTTTGGTAATTAGTCATTACAAGATACCGCAGAAACCTGCAAAAGGAAGATGATTGCGGCAGAAGCATTAATTTCAGGACTGCAGGGAGAAAAAGAAAGATGGACTGAAGACAGTAAACGTTTTCAAAGTCAAATTGATAGGTTATTACTATTTTGAATACCTTAGAGGATTTAGAGATTTATATTTTGCAAAAGCATGTGCCGAACTCTGTTTCTGCATTCACTTAACTAATTTCTTTCAGACTTGTTGGAGACTCTTTTCTGCTTGCTGGATTTCTTTCTTATTCTGGCCCATTCAATCAAGAATTTAGAAACATGTTTTTTAACTCCTGGAAAAATGAACTTCAGAACAGGAAGATACCCTTCACAGAAGATCTTAACTCAATAAATTCTTTAACTGATGCACCCACAGTAAGATATTACATATATTTCGCTTCTTTTCAAAGTAAAACCATTTTTTAGATATGGTCATTATGCGAAACCAAGGTTCTTTCTCAGTTGGTGGCGCATCTTAAAATTTATAAACTTGTATGAGAAGAAAAGGAATATAGAAAACAATACTCCAAATTGTTACTAAGACATGAATATCAATACTGTTGATTTTCATGCCATTGATCTCTAAATTGTGGAATCTCTATGAACACCCTATGAAAAGTCAATAATAGACTTTTGACTGAGAATATCATACATAATTATAACCGGGAATTTACTTTGTCGGGGAATATATTTAAGGTTTAAAGAACTTACATATTACTTGTTTTAATGTTTTAACCTGTCAGAAATATATTTTTGTGATGGGGATAGCCCACGTGATTTGAATGAGCGATGACAATACAATAAAAAAGATACTGCTTTTTAGACCCACTGGAACAAGAAAGCGGGGAAGGCCGCAGTTCAGATGGGCTGACTCAGTGGAGTCTGATTTTCTCGCAATTAATGAAAAGAGTTGGAGATTAAAGATAAATTGGAAGTCGTCATGGCGAAATCTTCAGAGGAAGGCATTGGCTCACATTGAGCTGTCTGGCCAACTATGATGATGATGGGGAGGGAATACCAAAATTATTAAAAATCTCCAATGAGCTGTAAACAAAGTTCACCGATCGGTATCTAGATGCGCATGGCACATTCCATTTGAGCTTTGCTGCTCAAAAACTTTATTGGAATTGGAAATACTACTTGTAATTTTTGTTAAAGTTTTTTTGTTTTTAAGTCTTGTTTATTTTTTTAAATATTGTTGAATTAGGTAAGATAATCTCTTAGAAAATCAGTCAATGAAAATAGAGAGAATGACAATGATTTCTTTGATGCATTCTGAATTTTAGAAATTAATTACTATTTCTTGAATGCAACTGCAAACTGATGCTGCTTTTGAAAGAGATTTTGCAACTCGGAATAGAATAAAACCTAACAATTTAACTTTTCATCAGTTGAATGACCATTTAAGATTATTCTGTGAAAGACACCTTTTTCATGCCATTAATGAAGATTTTATTGTGCATAAAATTTCAAACTTGCTATAAAATGGTAAAAACAAAAAAAATAACTAAAAAATTTTAGCACAATACATTTTATTTATAATTTTTTTGGAAACCTTAGTCTAATTAACCTATAAATAGAGATAAAAAAAGTAAAAATAATGTAAAATGATGTTTTTTTGTTGTTGCAATATTTAAGTAATAATTCTTTTGTATTTTTATAAGAATATATTAGTCTTAATCTGTGTTATTAAAGGACAGTAATTTACAACATAAGTGTTATAAAATGACAGTCTTTGCAAATGTTATCTCTGTTTCGAAATTATTCTCTCAAAATTCATTCCTCAAAAATTATTAAATGAGTAAAATTGCTCTCTAAAGTATTTCTTTAAGTGGCACTGGCTATAAAGTAATTTATTTTATTGCATGTCTGAATTTTATAAAGTGATCAGTGATTTCAAAATGAGTCGAATAAAAGAAAACTGGGATAAATCTTGCAATCGTCAAGTTCTTTAAATTATTGGATAAGTAATTCCAAAGTAAGGAAGTTTCATGATTGCCTTTGAAGGGTCAGATTGTTAAGAAATTGGCCAATAAGTAATTTTTGATTTAAAACAAAAGACTGAAGGAGTTTTAAATATCAACAGAGTGTCGTGAATAAGCATTTAATTATCAATTAAGAGAGAAAAAATAGCTAAATGCAATGAAATGAGCAAATGGTATTTCTTTTGCCGTTATTTGAACATAGAAATGTTGTTACGTAAGGAAATGGCATTGAGTTTTTTTTTTAATCATAACTGCACAGAGAATAATGACTGTACATCGAATTATTGCAGTACAGATTTTGTTGAATTGTGAGTAGCATTAATTTTCTTTCTCCTAATTAATTTGCTTTTCTATCTCCATTTTTTTTTTGGACAATTTAAGTGGTTTAAAAATCTTTTAGAAATCTATTGGAGCACTTGTTAAGTACTTTCAACGCTTTATTTAAAAACGGTTTGGCTTCGTTTACAATAATTTAAGCAATAATGTATGCAAAACTTATATATTTATTGATTTGTAGATTGCTGAATGGGGTGTGCAGGGCTTACCGAATGATGAGCTTTCCTTACAAAATGGTATTATAGTCACAAAGTCAGAGCGTTATCCTTTGCTTATTGATCCTCAGGGGCAGGGTAAGGCTTGGATCATCAAAAAAGAAGCAAACAGGCGATTAATAGTAAATATTTCACTTATGCTACTCTTTCTGCGGATATTTTTTCATTAATTTTTTTCTTTCTAAAGAACTTTGAAAAATGTTACACATATGTAATTAGCTCGTCTGTTATGTTTTAAATGAGTTCTAAAAATAGTTTTGCTATGTAGAATTTTTCAGTGTATTCTATGCAACCACTTATATAAAACTCTGGCTTCCAATAATTAAATATTTTGACAAACCTGCTGTATGATCACTCATAATAGGCTTAAATTATTATTTCTGGAGCAGTTATATTAAAATATTTTTATTGATTCAAGATAACTAATGTTGAACTATGTTTTTAAATTTCTTGAAATACATAAACTTCTATTTACATACGTGTTATGTCACCTATAACGTCAAAAAATATATCAAAGTATATTATGTGATGTACTGCAATTCTATTATTTACGAATGTTGTATTTGCAGGCTTAAGAAATTTAAAACTCAGAAAAAAAAAATTTAGCAGTTAAGTAATTTTTGTAAAAATAAGTCTTGTAATCATTTATGCCTACTTATTAACTTCTTATATACTTTTTATTAACTTTTAATTACTTAAAAAGTTTTTAAAAACTAACTATTATGAATGTAACATTGTCTTTATGTCTGTTACGCCCAGTTTTTAACTTTTACAAAATTTTCAAACTAATACAAGTTATTATTGAGTTATAGGCTTCTAAAGTCTGCAAATATGACATTTAACCTTTTTTTTTGTTGTTGCGGCACACTTTTAATGATTTTGAAATTTTACGGCACACAAGGAAAAAAATAAGCTTAAAAGTTGTTTACTTATATATAATACACTGTTTAATAGTTTATTATTATAATTTGAGCTTGAAATAAAATAATATGTACTACAAAAACTGTATGTCTATTAAGGGATTATTCGGCTCTTTCGATTTGTACTGTTCTTATTTCCCTTTCTTTTCCTTGCATCACTTAATAGTTCTTTTGTTTTGTTTTTTATAGTTATTGTTTTTTTTTACATCAATAGTTTGTTTTTTGTGATTCCTTGTTACCTTGTTTTTTTTTTGCTAATTATTAATTGTTAGCTTGTTTTTTTGTTAGTTATCATTTGTTAATTTGTTTTTATAACTATTAATTGCATATCTTATTTTAATTGTTAGCTTTTATTTCCTTTTGCAAGTTAATATTTAGTTTGCTTTCTTCTGTTAATTAATAATTTTAATAGTCATTAAATTTCCTACTTATTTTAAGACTGTCAGAGACAGGACTATTGTTGACAAAGATGTCCACGCCGTTAAAGCGTGGAAAAATTATAAAAAGTATATATATATATTTTATGTATATACTTTTGTTTAAACTTTTCTCGGAATAAAAAAGCATAATTTTCAATATCATTTCTAAAATTTTTTGGCAAACTTGAAGAATTTGGTGGCACACAAAAGTGTCGCTGCATAACAGTTGAGAATCACTGCCCTATAGTTATCAGTCTGTATGAATTATATTTGATGGCATTTTAAGACTGAGCATAGGAAACCAATTAAAGACACTTATTTCCTAAATAAACTTTTCCCCCATTAATAAGTAATTTATGATATGATGCACACAATGTGATAGTTGTTGTTGTTGCTAATTCCCATCTGGTCTGACGGGGTCAGACCAGATCAATAAATCCGTTGACATTAGGAAAATCGGAAACCAGAATGGGAGAGGAATGAATGTTGTTCCAGTCCAGCCCTAAACACTTCAAGATGTGCTCAGGTGATGCCTGGTTTTGTTGGCATTTAGGGCAAAGAGGAAAGATCTTTTGATTCAATGTGATAGTAAAGTTAGAAAATATAGTTATGTGATAAATATCATTCTTTTCTTAAAGAAGAAGTTAATATAATTAATAACCTTGTAAATTTTTAAATGAAGGGGGGATATTTCTATGTATTCGGAAAAATTGACATATTCACACAATTCCATGCCATGCATCATAATTATTCCTGTTTTATTAAACTTATTAATTTCCAGAGCATTTTTTTTCTGCATAAAAATTATATTATTGTTCCTTAACTCTTGGAGGAATTTGCGAGTTTTAATCTTAATTTCTGAATTCGTGATTTCAGTTTTTTTATGATTTAGATGTTAGTATTAGGTAAATGAGAATTTCAATATGAAGAGAAAACTTATGGCATAACATAACAAATTTGATCAAAAGCTTACAATTTTGTGAAATAGCTTGAAGTATAACTTGTGGAAAATAATGATTTTTTTGTGACTTTTAAATATTTAAAAATGTTATTCAACTTGTTTGAAGTTATAAATTAGAAATATTCCACTGTGTATTTTAGATAACCAACTTGAATCATAAATTCTTTCGTCAATTTTTCGAAGATGCTTTGTCTCAGGGACTGCCTATGCTGATTGAAGATGTTGGAGAAGAACTAGACCCAGTCTTAGATAATGTTTTAGATAAAAACTTTATGAAGTCTGGGACCATTTTGAAAGTAAGTTTTTCTTTATTCTATTTCATGTTATTGGAATTAGGTTTAAAGTTCTTTACATATGCTATATATATATTTTTTTCTTTTTACTTAAGGTAAAAATTGGAGACAAAGATGTGGACTTCTTAAAATCCTTTAAACTTTATATCACCACAAAACTGCCAAATCCCACTTATGCTCCTGAAGTAAGATTTATAATCCATATAATGCAAATTTTTTTGCTTTTTAATGATACATTCTGATTCCGACATTAATTTGAATTCCTTTTAAAAGAACTGAGGAAAATATTTTTGCTGCTATGTTATATTTTTTAACCTGAGACTGGTTATTGTTAAACTATTATAAATTTTCTTAATATGTATAACCATGAACGAAGGTGTATTCTTACGGAAATATATAACATTGATGACAAAATTATTTTTATTTTAGTGATTATTTTCATGAAACATTTCGATTTTTTATAGCCTAATTTCAATGTAAATCTTATATGATGAGATTATTTTCACCAATTTACTTTTTCATTTTCACAAAAAAAAAGTATTACAAAGCTTGAAGTTATTATTTATTCTAATTCAATAAAGAAAAATTAAAGGCTACATTCCTTTTATGTGTAAATTGAATTTATACATAATAATTTGTCGAAATGATCAATTAATAAAATATTAAAATGACCTTTTTATGAATGCAGGTTACAGCTAGAACATCTGTTATTGATTTTACTGTCACTATGAAGGGTTTAGAAGATCAGCTCCTTGGTCGTGTCATTTTAGCTGAAAAGCAGGTCAGTCTGCTCTTATTAAAACACCAGCTATTTTTTATTATTTTTACTATAAAACGATATCTGTACCTTATTTAATTTCTTGTGTTAGATAACTGAACTTTAATCAGTGTCACTTTGTAAGTAATCATTCGACCATAAATTAAAATTTATTTATGCCATTATGTCATTTATGCCATTTCCTTTATTTATGTCAACCAAGTTAGCATGACTCAAAAGGTATTCAACATCTATTTTTATGTCAAAATTCATTGCTGTAAGTAGTTTTTTTTACTTCCTTTATAGCAGATACACTTCGTGTGCAAAAATTAACAGTCATCAAGATGACTAAATGTAACAAATGGTGTTTATATAATTGCCTGGTAATTTCAGATTGCCACTTTCTTTGTCAAAAATGCATTAAATGTGTATTTTATTATTACTATTTTTAATAAATGCAAAATTATTATGTATATTTTATAATATTCTGAAATTATTTTATTGCAAACTTGTTTCTTAGAATTTTCTTCATTTTAGAAATGAACCTTATAATTTTTACCATATTTTCAGAAATAAAAGTAATCAATTTTTGTGATCATTTTAAATTTTCAATTAAGTAACCACCATTAAAAGTGCTACAATTGGCCTCTGGCCAGTAACAAAATTCTTTGATTTTGTCTTGTTAAGCACTGACAAACATATACCCTGAAACATTTTGTTTTATTCTAAGTATAGATTAATATTTTTTTATTTCTTTTGCTTTGAGTAATCATGTCTTATAAACTAACTAAGGTGTGAAAATTATTTAGAAAATACATTGTAATATATTTTGTAACTTGTATATACATTGTAATATATAAGTTGTATATACATTATAATATATAATCATTTTGAAAGAAAGTAATTTTTTATCAAATCGCAAAAAGAAATTCTTTTCTTACAAATTCACATATATAAGATTTTTTTCGCAATGTTTTTGTGAAATGTGAGCCTTAAATTTTTTTTATTTCTTAATAGGAGCTAGAAGCAGAGAGAGTTGCTCTACTAGAAAATGTTGCATCTAATAAGAGAAAAACTAAGGAACTGGAAGACAATTTGCTTCATAAACTGGCCACAACTAAAGTAATGATCTCACTGTCACACTCTGTGTATTCTTCGATTAATTGTTAAATTCAGCACTAATTTCAGTATTTTCAATGCAGAAAACTTAAATCAAAAGCAAAAATATTTCTTTGAATTCAGTAAATTTTTTTATTTAAATAGAATAAATAAATTATTCTATAAAAACAATTAGAATGCTCTTATTATGCTGTTAAGTTCTGTTGACTAGATTTTATACTAAAGTCTTAAACATATCTGCTATGTGGAAACATCTCTCTTGAATCTTCTATAATGTAAGATTTTCTTATGCAAAATGTCATTACATTTTAATGTACTGAATATATTCAAATTTAATATGATTTGGTGAAAATTGATAAATAATGTTAAAATATCATAGCATTCTGTTACTGCTCTCTTAGCTCTTCCAAAGTATAATTGAATGATATGAACAAGCATATGCAACGCCTGTTGATATCCTTTCATCTGTTGTTTTTCCTGATGAAACCGCTTCGCAAAGAGGGTACATAATGGTTTTACTTAATGTCTCGAGGAATAAAAAAAATAGCTCTAATTAGATATGTCCGTTTTGTAAGAGTGTCAGAGTTTAAGAGTGTAGGAGTGTAGAAAAAAGCATTTTCCTTATTTTTTTTCCTTATCTTAATAAAAGATTTTTCTTCAATGTGTTTATATTTATGTCAAGTGATATAATTGATATCTTTTATTCAGTTCTCTACAAAATAAGCTGTTTCAAATATTTAAATTTAGGGATCATTAGTTGATGATGAATCTCTTATTGAAGTATTAAAAACAACGAAAGAAACTGCTGCAGATGTGGCTAAACAACTAGAAGTTGCCGATACAACAAATAAGATGATCAATGTGGCTAGAGAAGAATATAGACCTGGTAAATAGATTTTTTATGGATTTAGTACTAATTAATTCATTACTAAATTCTTATTTTATCAATTAATCTAATTATTTAGTGAATGTAGCATATTTATAAATGCTTTAAGTTAAAATAAAATTGTCCATACATATCCATATTGCATATATAAGTTGGTTTAGTCACTTATTAGTTATTTATTAAATTATCTGTGCTTGTATTATAATTTTTTTTACTAATTAATAACTAAGAGAGTTAATTTTCTAAATTAGATTGATTTTTGTGCAAATACTAAATTAGATTTATATACAAAACTTTTCGATATTTATTAAATAGATAATTGTCACTTTTTGTACTGCGTTAAATTTAGAGAAAAATAATGCTATGATACATTTTAGTTTATTTTTATTGAAAAATTTGATTACCTATAAAAAGTTTACTATTTTTTAACTACAGTTGTTTATTGTATTTTTCCAAAAAATCTTATGAATCCTTCACATTATTTCACAGTTTGAATTTTAATTTTAAAAAAATCTGTTCAAACATTTTGAACTGATGAACATTTATAGCAAATTTGTAAAACATGTTTATTCTAGTCCTCTCTCCCCTATCAAAATTTTTTTTTAAATATATTTTACTCATTGTGTTTCAATCATTTAAAGCTATTTTTCTGTCTAGTTGCAACTAGAGGAAGTATTTTGTATTTCTTGATTTGTGACATGGCTATGGTGAATGTTATGTATCAAACTTCGTTAGTACAATTCTTGGGAATTTTTGACCATTCTCTAGCCAGGTAATCACATTATAATATATATTTTGGGTAAAAATAATGTCTCAAAAGTTTTTTTTTTCTCACATATATTTATTTTTTCTCATATATTTGTTTTGTTTCATTTTTAAGCTTAAGTCTATTTATCTTTTTATTGTGGTTGGTTTAACAGTTGAAGCTAAGCAATTAGAATTTTCTTTTTTTAAATTGTGACAAAGGGCTTTGAAATACTGTATTATTTTTAGCGATAATTTACACCAAAGACATTAACTAACTCCATATACCTATATATTATACTCCATATGCTCCAAAATAAAAATAAAAAATTTGTTTAAAAGTGATAAATTGGTGGTTTGTATAGCTAAATTATTTATACTGAATAAAAAAAAACTTGCTTTTTAATTACATTGTTATTTAGAGTAAAACTGTTTAAGAAGTGCTCTAAATTACTCAAAATCCATTGAAAATTGTTATTGCTTACTGTTTTAAAACTCCAATCTCACCACTAAATGCTTTAATAATAATAATTAATGAAGTATTTTGAATTTTCAAAAGAAAAGTGTTACAACTTTTTGCAAATTCAAATGTCTCTCTATTAGTTTATTGTTAAAAAACTACATCTTTTTATTTAAATTTATTGCTACGCAGAACTGAGCAATCGCAATTTTTACTTTCAAATTAAAAAAACAGCAAACTTTTCAAATAAGAATGTACTACTGACAGATTACAGATAAGTAGATTGAAAATACAATTTAAAAATTCTTATTTTATAGTAATGCAATTGAACCTTCATCCATCATTCCCAGATCTTTCGTTTTCCCATATGTATCATCTTGTTTTACGACATTGTCACAATTCTCATAATGTTAGTAATGCCAATTTAGATCCTTTTTGAAACTAGCAGATTCTCGTATCTATAACTCTGAAATTTTTCTGACATTTAAAATAAGTGTTGAAGTTATTTCATTTTAATAATAGCATCAACTCCTGATGCTAATAAAGAAGAAAATGAATATTTGTTGGGAGAGAACTCCTCTAACATCATGTTTCATGTGAACCTGATTATCTCTCGTCACTGTGTTTTTTCTTGTTCTGTTTCTAATCTTTTTTTTTCACTCGGCTTCTGTTGTTTTTCTAGTTTTGTTTCTCACTTTTATTTCTCCATTCTTCGTTGGAAACTTTATTTTTTCAAATCATATTTGTTTCGTTACATTCACTTCTGTCAAGTCTTGAAAATGGGCGCTGATTTTTGATGCGCTTGAAACGACTCGACTGTCATTTCATTTTTGTATATTTTTGAAGCGTATAAAGTTTTCAATCAGGTAATATCCTGCTGATGTTTATGCATGAAAATTTTGAAATTTATGGTGTTGTCTGTTCAAAAAGTCGTTGTAGAAGTAGACCAATGAAGATGGTAAAACGTTGATGAACTTTCAGAAAATGAACAATAATCTGTTAGAAATATCGAAAATCTGTTGTTTGAGCTGAGAGAAAAGCTGAGACCAAAATTACCGGATAAAAAAAATTGTGTATTCATCTTTTTTTCCAATTGTAAATATTATTTCATTAAGTACATTATTTTTTCAATCAACGTTCTACATACTTATGTAAATTTATTAATTAAGTTCATCACTCTTTTTTATTTCATTTCATTTTAGTCTGAACAACATATTATTATACAAACCTTTTTGTTACACACACACACATATATATATATGTGTGTGTGTATTTATATATGTATATGTAATGAATAACACTGCATAAACACAATAGGAAAATAAATGCAATTGATACTTATTTTGTTTTCATATGATACTACGTAGTTATAATAATATTATTTGACTTAGTTATAAAATTATGCTCATGTTAGACTAATATTGGTTTTCTGAAGAATTTATTGAATTAACTTTTTACAAGTCAAATAATGATTGAATAAATTATTTTATATTATAATTAAATTTTTTCTGTAGTTTTTCATTATCTCTATTTGAACTTGCTTAAAAATAATTATTCACTGAAAAGATTACGCTATTTTTTTTCCATCTTTCTTGGGAGGTTTGTGAGATGAAAGAATAAAATAAAGATTGCTCAATGAGAATAAATAAATATAACTCAATTAAAATTATTCCCTTGTATCTGAACAAATTTAAAAGGCATATTTTTGTAATTATTCATAAAAGATAACATTTTTATGTGCTTTATTCTTTAGGTCAGAAAAGTCTCCAAGAACTGCTGTGAGAATCGACAACATAATTCATTTTTTGACATTTGAAGTATTCAAATACACATGTCGAGGCCTTTATGAAATTCATAAATTTCTCTTTACTTTACTTTTAACAATGAAGATAGACTTAGCAGAATCAAAAATTTCATTTGAGGAGTTTAATATTTTTATAAAGGGTAATTCATTACTTGTTTTTATAAAATAATTGTTTAAATACTCTTGGTTGAAGGCTCTGTCGTTATATTATATAACATTTTCGGCAAATAATATATTAAATTTGTCAAAGTTATTCATGGCTACCATAGGGTTTAAGTTTTCACCTACTTTAGCCAATAGTTTCTGTGGTCATTATTATACTGGAACAAAATGCCAATTTAAAGAAAAGCCATGACTGCCTGAAAATAGGAAATATTAGTAAATCAGTTTTTTAAAGTTTTCTTATTAGTTTTATCAGTTTTTTTTAATTCCGGGACTGCATTATTGGGGCTCATAAAAATATGCGATAAGTAGAATTTGTTGATAGATTTTAATAATTTTCATTTAGATGAGAAAATTTGCTGAATTGATTTTCAAATGTTTAATATTAATAATTTAAATATTAAGTTGTTTTTTCCGTTTTAATGTCAGACAATTCTTTTAACCAAGATAGTATCTATAGTTTAAAATTAAAGTTGTTATGATCATTTTTTAGTTTGAAGACACTTAAACTGCAACTTTTTTTGTCAAAATACTTTAAAGAACACCCTTAATACCATTATTGTTTTTATTCAATGAAGAGTTTAAACAAATAATTTTTTTGAATGGACTCCTTTTTTCTCCATTAATGTCTTTCTCATTTATTCTTTTAGGTGGGGCTGCATTAGATTTAAAAGCAGTAGAGCCAAAAACCTGTCGTTGGGTTACAGATATGACTTGGCTGAACCTAGTTGCTCTGACTAAACTAGATTATTTCAGAGAAATTCTTGTTAAGGCAAGTTTTTGGTATCATTTATATTTTTGATATAATGCTTCAAATATATTTTTGAGTAAAAGTGTTTCATTTTTAAAGCATAAAATTTATTTATTGGTTTTTGATTTATGTAATCTGAAAAACTGCGTTAAAAATAAAAATGTATGTTCTCAGAAGCACAAGGACTTGCTATAGCTGTAGATTAAATTATCATTTTTTTTTAAATATTTCATTTCTTATTCAATTAAAATATTATTCTATTCTTCATATAGGTAAAACGTAGCGAAAAATTGTGGAAAGCTTGGTATGAGAAAGATGCTCCTGAAGAGGAAATTATACCTGATGGATATCACACTCTAGATTCCTTTAAAAAACTCCTTCTGATTAGGTTACTTTTTATTTATTTATTTCTTATATTTATTTTTTATATTTATTAGAAGGTTAAAAATTTGCAAATTTCTGCTACTTTATTTATTTTATATTTTTAAACCTACAAATGATTCAAAATGCTACACAATTTGCATGTAAATTGTTTGAAATTTCTTTTTTCAGTGCATATATTGTAAATTGTTTTGTTTTTGTATTCATGTTGTATTTTTAAAATTTATATGAATATAGGTCTTTTTCTCCTGTGTCAATCACACAATCCTAATTTATAATATATTATGAATAAAAAAAATTTGTAAGTACAGACTGAAAATTTTTTTTCCCCAACATATTTAATAAAAACCTAAGAACTGAGCATATTGTTTCTGTTCTATTTTTTGTTTTCTCATTTAATCTTTCCATTTGAAAAAAAATTGTCTTAATTTTTTTTTGTAACTGTATCATGCAGATCCTGGTGTCAAGACCGTACTCTGTCACAGGCTCGAAAGTACGTTTCTGACTCCATGGGACAACGATATGCTGATCCTGTTATCATGAACATGGATTCCATGTGGGAGGAAAGCACTTCTCGTTGTCCTCTGATTTGCCTCCTTACCATGGGAGCCGACCCTACTCAACAAATAGAATCCCTTGCCAAGTCAAAAGAATTGTCTTTTGGGGCCATATCAATGGGCCAAGGGCAAGAGGTTCATGCAAGGAAGTTGATGAGCTCATGTTTTGAACTGGTATGAGCAGCAAATATTACATTTTACTGTGTCAGTATTTAACACAATTAGTTCTTGTTACTAGGTTATCATTTAATTTGCTATGAATAATTCATTTCTACTTTGTTTCGTATATTGTTTAGAAACATTAATAAGTTAGCAATATACTAATTAATTATGAGAGTAGATTAAATGGGTAAAAAAATGACACAATTAAAAATTGCTAGCATTTAATTATTTAATCTATTTTTTATAAATTAAGAAGAGGGAGAGGATTAGTCAGGTTCAAGAGCTAAGTTTATTTTTGCTCATTAGCTGAAGAATAAAACATATCTAATAAAAAATTAAAATCAAAACTATTGAAGTATAAATCTTGATTTATTTAAGGGAAGCAAAATGTGTTATGTGAACAAGGTGACTAACATAAAGCTTAATTTTAAAATTTGGATTCAACTAATAATATTAAAAAATAGTCTTAAATATCTAGTTAAAATTAAATGTATCTGAGCAGCAAAAAGAAAGGTTTAAATTGATTTTTTATGTCAAGAGTGTAACATTTTAAAAAGTGCATTATTTAAAAAAACAAAAACATTCTGAAGTTTTATTTGCCCAAACATTACTTAATTTATTTTGCTTTAATTTCAGAGATATGCCTATCTGTGGTAGCTATGTAGTATTTTAATTAGATTACAGTTAGCAAACTTAAGACTGGTCTATCCATTCATATATATTTAACTATGCATGATAATTAAAAAAGTTACTGGAAAAAAATATGTCATTAAAAGTGAAAACAAGCTGTAGTTGACATATTAAGTTTTTGTATGAATTAAGAAAAACAGTGCAACAGTTGGCAACAGCATCTATGAAACAGCTTCTTAACTTACTCTAGTGGATGTGGTTTACACCCTTTTTCCTTATAATAGAAACATCTGGTTTTGGACCCGAAGCAAAGAATGTAAAAAGGATAAGTCCAGCTCTGATTATGTAACTAACATGTGGAACTGGTCGATGCGGTATGGTATACCAAAAAAAAAGCAATTTACAGGGTGAGCAACATGCTCAGTTTTAACAGAGCATAATATGTACTAAGATCCAGTGCAGGTGCATAAGGAGCAAAGTGACAGTCAGGAGGTATGTCACCTATGAACTGGTTGTTGAACAACTCTGCACGTATAGTTAGGTACGCAGCCACCAGCCGACCTCCATTTTGTTCTTTTTTTCTATGTCACAACGTGTTAGTAGATAATAAAAATTTATTCTCAAGGAAATATCTTGAAAAATAGTACAGTACTATTTACCTATGGTGTAAAAATGTAGAACAAACCAACAATAAATAAAAAGAGAAAACTTTTCTTCTCCTCCTTAACCCTTCCCATACTCCAGTAGTGTTTAGGAAGAGAGGAGAGAGCAAACCTGTTCCTCTATGCCCCTAAATGTTGTTTTCACACCAAACCTTGGAAGACTGAATTACATTATATCTATGGAAGCTAGCCTTCTTCATCTATGTATATTCTTTGTTCAAAGAGGTCCCTGATTTCATCCTAGTCAACTGGCAATGAACATTTGTCATGCACTCCTTTACAAGTTATAATGTTAAAATCTCATTAATTGTATTTCAGGGTGGTTGGATGCTGTTACAGAACTGCCATTTGGGTTTAGATTTCATGGATGAATTGTTGGATAAGATCTTGACTACAGAAAAAGTTGATGATTCTTTTAGGTGTTGGATAACAACTGAGGTCCACCCAAAATTTCCTATATCTCTTCTTCAAGCTTCCATCAAATTCACCAATGAGCCTCCACAGGGAATCAGGGCAGGCCTGAAAAGGACTTACTCCATTGTCACTCAAAAACAACTGGAAGCCATCACTTATCCGCAGTGGCAACCCATGCTGTATACTGTTTCTTTTATGCATAGTGTTGTTCAGGTGAGTACAAATATTTGCCCAGAAATCAGTCTAGTCATAGTTGTATTGTCAAACTAATGCCAGTTTTACATTGATTCATAAACATTATTAGTATTGGTTTGTAAAATTATTTGACCTATAATCATAAATATTTCAGAGAATTAATTTTTTTTTAGGGTGCACTATTTATATTAATGTGCCCTATTGAAGTTATAGATTCCTTGGTACTTTCTCAGTCATGATATCTGATACATTAATTTTTGTAACCATGAAATATTAATTTTTAAAAAAAATAGGGTTTTAGTTAATTTTGTAAAATTTAAAAATACTAATATTTTTTATTTTGCTATAAAACAAGTAAGCTATTTAATAAAAATGGAAAAATGACGTTTCAGATTTGTTTGTTTTCAGAATGTTAGTATAAAAACAGAGTTGGCATATCTGATACAATTTTCATTGTAAGTTTGTACAGATTCAATTAAAAGAAATACTGACAGAGTTGTTGATCCGTTAATGAGAGTTTTAAACTAAATCTAGATAATGTTTTGCATTTTATTTTCAAAATAGATATAGTGTCTTCAGATGTTATATTTTCAAATTATGACAATTTTAATACAGAAAAACGGATTAAAAATAAAGAAATATTGTAAATAATATGTCATGTATTAATAATATATTATTAATAATTTATAAATTATATATAATGTATTACTAATTATAATTATTGTGAATTGTTATTTTGCAGGAACGCAGGAAATATGGACCTTTAGGGTGGAATATACCTTATGAGTTCAATTCTGCTGATTGGTCAGCTAGTGTACAGTTTATCGAAAATCATTTGGATGACATGAATCCTAAAGTAGTAAGTATTATGATGTATTCTTTAATAAATGAACTAATTATTTTATTTCTTTAAAAGGAAAACCTTCCTTTCTCTATTTTTACTTAGATTATATCTATATATATAGACAGTGAATCTTCTCGGGAGCGACCACTCTCAGTTTCATTGTAAAATGGTCATTAATAAAGGTTGGTCGTTAGTAGGGGTTACCTTTATTGGCTTCAAAATTTTATGGAAGGTACATGAATTTTCGCAAGCAATTTTGATTTTACTCATTGTCATTTTCTTGGTGTAGAAAAGCCACTTCTGTTGGCGTCATGAGAACAAGATCGATAAATTAAATTTAGCTTCAATAAAAATGACCTTTACTGATATAATTACATGTAATAACAAATTACCAATTTTGAATCATAAAACTATTTTAAATAAATGAGCAATTATATTTTTTCTTAAACTTTGAATTTAATTTTATGTCATAAAGTTTAGTTAGCTTTAAAAAATGAAGAGGTTTGTTTGTTTGAGATGCTTAGTTTTTAAAATAACTCTTTTTTTCCAATTTAACTTTCAACTCTAATAATAAATCCTGGATAGAATCATATTTAGTATGCACTGGATGCATTATGAAGTTGTCAAGCTCTCTAAATAAGAACTACTCAAAAATATTTTGAAAACATTTGAATCTACTTTTTTGTTTTGCTAATATTTTTGTTTTGATATTTTTTATGCTTCCTTATTTGAACTTTTCCGCATTTGATACTGAGGTTTTCCTGGTCGCTGAGAGAGGTTTTGATGTTCTCTCCTAAAGGTTTCCTTCAACATAATGTCTATGGGAAAAACTATGCCTCCCAAAAATGATCGCAAATAGAGGAGGTCACTACACAAGGATGATCTTTCCTGAAGGTTTCACTGTGTGTGTGTGTGTGCGCACGCGCGTGCGTTTGTGTGTGTGTGAATTCTTAATATTAACCTTAAAAGGATCACATGAAAGAAGGAAACATCATATTTTGAACTCCAATTGGCATAATTGTATCAACTTTACTTAAGTATTTTATTAACTTAACTTTCATTCAAGCAATGACAGACCAATATTGAAACTATGAAGAATATTGATTGTATTGAAGCACTTCAGTTCCTTGTAGTCACCAATAGTAAAATGAATTGTGTGAAGGATTTTTTAAAAAAATTTGAAAATCCACATAAATCCACATTAAAGTAAAGAAAATGATTTTATTAATTGTTTATTTTTTCTTTTTTATTCATTAATTGTTTTATTACTTAACTTATTTCATTATTATTCAAATTGCTTTATAAAAATAGCGGGTGAAATTGTAACAAGAAAATTTTATTAGTTTTCCACTTTCCTGTATTGATACCAAAAGTAAGTAGAACTGTCTTCTACTTAAACTTTTTTCCTTTAATATTGCTCACTTAAACAGCAGAAAAATGTATTTCCTAATTAAACAAATTTGTGTTGTAATAGTGGAAGGCTAGTTATTATTAACTCATTATAAATATGCAATTTTACATCTTTACTATTAACATTTTAAAGGAGATTTAGAAATTTGTCATAATAATTTCTGGTAATATATCGTACTATTTATATCAAACTTTTACTGTACATCATTATAAAAATAAAATCTTATGGTGTACTGAAAGTTGTCTAATTTAGTTTGGTTTCATTCTTAGTATTTTGTGCTTGTTGTACTAATTATTATATGTTTTAGGGTGTTTCGTGGCTCACAGTAAGGTACATGCTGGGAGAGGTGCAGTATGGAGGGCGAGTAACTGATGATTACGACAAAAGACTGTTAAACACAATTGCAGAGGTATATTATAGATCAACATGTTTTGTCTAAAAGTACTAGTATGTTATGCTTAACTGAGGTTTAGTTTATATAAAATAGCACTTATATTAGTTTTTTTCAAAAGGCGAAGTACAAAAATGTTGGTATGAAGGAATTATAGAACACAATTTTTTCAGTGAAATGAAAAAAAGTTATATGTATTATGAAAACCCATACCAAACAAGCCCTAATGCAATATGTACCCCTTTAATTATGGTGTGTTGCCCTTTTTGATAGATAAATAACCTGGTCCTAAATTGCACCCAAGATTTTACCTTCTTATTTATGCATTAAGACTTCTATTATAGCACCTTTTTATCAGTTTACATTGAGTTTGTAATGTTGCTTACATTTGGTGATGAAAGTCAGCACTGTCCTATTCAACTGTATAGCTGATACTGCACTTGAGCTACTTAACTCTACGTTAAATCCATCCAATTTCAATTAAGAAGTCAAATAAGAAATAAGTAAAATAAGGAATTAATAAGAAATTAAATTTGATTTGAATTAATAAGAAATTAAATAAGAATTTTTTGTCTGACTTTACACTGCTTTTCTTTTTGATAAGTGTTTTTCCTTTAAAAACTTTTTAGAAACAATTTTGGGGGACCATATGTGTCTATAATATAAAATTTATTTCAAAAATATATCACAAATTTTAAACAATCTTTCCCACAAAATGTGTTAGTTTTCAATCAGAAATGCGTTAAGATGTCATTTTCATTGAATCAACAATGTAGTACTAAATGCATAAATTGTAAAATTTATTCAGAACCTAAACCTTTTTCAGTGTCACATAGATAAACCTGCATCAGTAGAACAAATGGCACCACTTGTCTTGCTGATGAAAGTTTACCTATGTGACCTTACCTATGTGGAAACCTTTATCAGTGTCACATAAATAAACCTGCATCAGTAGAACGAATGGCACCACTTGTCTTGCTGATGAAAGTTTACCGATGTGACATCGGAATATGTTTAGGTTTTTAATATATTTTGCTATTTGTGAATTTAAATTTTGTTTTTTATTAGATTTCTCACTTATGGTCTATGGCCGATTCCACAGTTAATTGAACCATTGATGTCAGTTACCATATTTTTAACTATCTGAAAAGCATTTTGGAAATTTAATTGTCTCATTGAATTCAGATAAAAAGAAATTAATGAACCATGGGCAAAAATCTTATGTATTTACTATTTATTGCTTTGTTTTGTTTACGTCTGTCAGTTACCCACAGAATTGACCTTATATATTTTTAAAACTTGATTTCATTAAATTAAGCATTTAACCCTGTTTTATGAATGTTTGTATCATATGATATAAAATGTTTTAGGAATATTTTGGAGAACATATGTTCTTGGAAACTTTCTCGTTTTATGAAGGTTATAACATACCTATCCGTAACACCATTGAGGAATACTTGCAGTACATCGACAATCTACCAGCCACAGATTCACCTCAAGTATTTGGTTTGCATCCAAATGCTGATATCACGTACGTATATCAGGCATCATATTATGTAGTTGAATAATGTATTTTTTAACTGTTGCGTAGTGTAAATGAATGTCTCGAGAAACTGAAGTGGTAAGATTTATTTCATTTTTGCTTCAAAAGTATTTGTGGTAGAAAAAGTCAACATATTTTAAACTCTGAAAACAAGGCAATTTGACTCTTGATAAGAGTTATGTAGTAGTTTAACTGTACTGCATAATGAATATTAAGAGCCTATGAAAAGAATAACGAAAAACTGAGAATAATTGGTCTGTACAATTCTTTAATAAAAATTATTGATTTTGAATAACAAAATTTATCTTACAGTGGTACTATATGTATTTCTTAATGAGCTCTTTGTCAAAAGCTGTGTTTCTGTTCTTTGCAATAATTTTTTTCCATCTAGTAATCAGATTGCTTATCACTTTTATTAAACCATTTAAAATTTCTGAATAGAGTTTTAAAGTAAATTATCATAATATTTTATTAAAATACTATTGAAGATTTTAATTACAAAACTTGAAACAAGAAGCTTTGTGTTAGTCAAACCTTGACGTATGTAGAATTTTGAAGTATATTGACCATTTCACATATCATTAAATTTTGCTAAGCATGGTAACATATATATGGAGCCAATTAATATTAATTGCAAGAACTGGATCTTACAGCTTAAGGCGATTTCATTAAACATGATAGCTAATTAATGATAATCCAGATTAATCCATTAAAAGGTGATATTGATTAGTTTTATTTAGATGAGGTAGAATTTAGTTATCGAATGTATTTTATGTAATATATAAGATTTAATTTACTAATACAAAAATCTATATTATATAAAACGCTAATACGTATGTATGTATCAATAAAACCGATGATATTTCTTTTCTCGCGTTGGCAACAGTTTTCATTTTTAATTGATAGGCTTTGGCGCGCAAGAGCACATAGTGAGCATCACATGGCTAATCTATATTATATAAAGCGTTAATACGTTTTAATTTATAGGCTTCGGCGCGCAAGAGCACGTAGTGAGCATCATATATCTAATCGGGTGAATTCTCACCGAATTATCAAAAAATTTCTCACAAAATTATCTTCATCGACGCCGATACTTTACATCCGGCGTTCAGTACTATTTCATATTGTTTTACAACACATGGTTTTAGCCCTCTGGTGGCAAAGACTTTAAAACGAAACTTACAACGGTTACTTTTCTCAACAACTGAAATTTAGAATAGTGTGATTAAGAAAAATATGTGAACTGTTTGCAATTTCAAATTAATATTGACATGCACAGGTTTAGAATTTTCTATAGTGAAAAGTTTTCAGAACTTCAGTGTTCAAAAAAGTATTCAAAAGCTAGATGTTAAGAACGTATTCAATGAGCGAGCAAAGCGAGCATCGGATTGCGAAGCAATCCGAAATGAACTGCGGAAGCAGTTCCGGGGGTTGGCGAGCTCCAGCGAGCAGGGGGCGAAGCCACCCAGTTATTACATAATTCCCTATTTTATCTCCATTCTAATTACCATCCATCTCAAAGAGGTCCAATCTTGCTATCATGCTTCTCATTCACAAATAAGCATCCTTGATATTTTCATTTACTGATTGTTTGAATCATCACATTTTACTTTCATTTTCTTATTGACAAAAAAATCTAAAAGTCTGCTCATTATGCTTAAAAAAATTTAAATTATAATACTTTGTAACACAGAAACATGTACTTAAGTTTTCGTATTTACAGAAAAAAATTAATATCAAGAGTGTTTGAACTAAGAACCAAATTTATCATATATTGGTTTGCTTTATAGATTGTAACCTTTTAAAAAAACAATTTTTCTTGCAGCCTGCAATTAGATAATAGTTCTTGTTCAATTATAAAAACTTATTCAATGTGATTTATATTGTTACACCCTGAACGTTGAAGGAGAATTTTCGCTCATAAATTGTGGTATATAAAACTTCCACAAAATTACAGTTGTAAATATTTTGCTTTCACATTATGCAACAGGTGTATTGAAATAACAATCACTAGCATACAAATTGGCATACCCCAAAAGTTAATTATCTAATTTAATGCTTTTATTTTAACCAAATTGTCTTAAAATAAATTTTTTGGTGTGTTAAAAAATCTAATTCAATGTTTTTCCCTTGTGAGAATTATGTTATTATCACTCTCTGTCTCTTTTTTTTCCAACTACAATATGTAGTTTTTATGTATTTAACATACAGTGGTGGCCAAAAGTGTGGACACATTTTGAAAGTTTCATGTTTTTCAACTTTGTGTGCTTGTAGAATATATTAATTTTTACTTAAATACAAACGTTTATATATCAAATTGAAGGTAATTTAATGTAGAATTTAATAATAAGTACAGTATTACAATATCTGTATTACAAAAAAAGTTATTCAACTAATAGTAAGATCTATCTTAGATTTGCATTTTTTTAAAGTGATACTTACACAATCAATACTTAGTAGGATAACCCTTATTTTTTAAGACAGCTTCACAGCGTCTTTTCATCGAGTGAACGAGTGTTTGGAGTT